GTGGAGCCTGGGCTCCAGGGAGGCACCCAAGTATCATACTTGCTAGCTCAGAAACTCTCTCAGCTTCCCTTATGCCTTGATTTCTTAATAGCAACCATTTCATCCATTTCCCCACACACTCCACAGAAGAGGGAAAACTCTTTTTGAAGCCGTAACATGCTCATTCAAGCCTCACTCTCACAACTCTTACTGACATCAGGGCACCTGCCCAAAACCTCATGGGACTGACCCTCATGCAGCTAAAGCAAAGCTTTGCTAAAAGCACCAGCTGCAGTTCCCTGCCCCAGGAAAATACCTCACCATGTCATTAGTGTGTGTGCAGACACTCATGGAGCAAGCTGTACGTATGTACTCATGATAAGCACACAACTAAAACAAATCCCTATTTGAAGTCTATTTTATGCAACAACTGTCTTCCCACCAACTCTCAAACACTTCTGCTTAGCACTGAAAAATAGGAAATTCACATGCATACCCAATTCTGCACACACATCAGCTTATATAATTCTTAATAATGAGCCTTCAACTTGTCTCATTCCACTCCTTTGTTTTTATTATCAATACAGCCTCTCAAACTTAGGCTCTCTATCCCACTTAGAGTTAATTGCATGAAAGCAGGCAGCATTTCTTGGCATTCTTAGATCTCCTCAAATGCCTAATAGAGTTTGTTTCCACACCCACATCCTATCTAGAGATGCCAGGGCACAGAGCTGGCAGGAGGCACAGGAAAGTGTGTCACTATGAGCTTAAAAAAACCCACACAAAGAGCAAGCAGCAGAACAAGCAGCCTACAGAATCATAAAAAAGGGATTTTGACCATTCAAGAGTCTTAGATCCGAGCAGTAAGAACAAAAACACAGGTGTACAAGGGTGGAGAAAGATGATCAGTACCTGTTGCAGAAATACACAGCATTGGATGGATTTAATTCAATTGCTTTTCCATAGAAAGACACAGCAGCTTCAAAGTTTTCTGCCTTCATTTGTTCATTTCCTAAAAAGATGGCAGAAGGGCTGATTAACAAGTGAAAAATGGGAACAAAAGCAACAGGCCCACATCTATGTTCTATTTAAGAAAATAGAACAAGAGAGAAACCAACTGCTTGCACCTTTTGCTGGTCAAACTGCTTGCAAGGGTGAGGCAGCGAGGTAGGGGACCTGTCTCGGCAATTCCAGGTTGCTTGATCCTGCGAGCTCACTAAGCCCCCTCAGCTGCCCTCCCACCCCGGGCACAGCTGAGGCCTCCCCAGAGCAACACCACGGCCTGAAAAGCACTGCAGGGTGTTGGCTCAGAGAAAGCTCTCCATTGTACATCAGCACTAATCACACTCTCTTGCACGGCAGAGAAAAGGCAACACAAAGAGGAGAGCTCAACAGGGAAGATGCCCTGTTCTACACAGCACGGGCTTCTGAGGATGCAAAAGAAAATGCTGACCCAGCTGCCTATCTAGGCTCCGTGGCAGCTAAATTATGCCAACCTACACACTCTCCTGGAGCACAAGCAGAGAAACAAGCTGAAATGGAAGGGTTGATCCCATTTGCTTTTTTCCCCCATTCCAAGCAATCCCCAGGTGATGAGTGAATTAAGCCTCCCGCCCCACTATCATCTAAACCTCATTATACACCAGCTCCAGAGGAGGTTACCTTCAGTCTTGAGTCTTTCAGCTTCAGCTATGTCATCTTCAGAGGGGGTGATGGGCTCCGAATTTGTTCTGATGTGTTCAGGCTCCTTACAAGGAAAGGGAGAATGCTGCAATAAGGACTCCCACCGAGATATACTACACCTCCCCCTTTCCAGGCACTGGCTCATCAAGCCCAAAACATTTCACTCCCACACACCTCTGAGGGTGCAGCATCGCCACAGAAATCAAGCAGAGCTCACTGCTTTAGCTGCTTAAATGGAAACTCAGTACATATTTTAGGGCACTTGCTCACCTTTCCTGCAGCAGCTTCAAATATTTCAGGAAGAGTCTGGGACACAGCTAAGCCTTGGTCTTCCATTGAGACCCCAAATGCTGTCTCCAGGCATTGGATGGCCACTGGACAAGAAGAGTCAGGTAATTAGATTTCCCTACTTCATCTAAATACTTAGCCTCCTCCCATAGCAATTGAATTTCTTAGTGTTGACCATGACAGGAAAAAAAGCCACCCTAAAGCACACAATTCCACACAGCAGGCTTGAAATTTGGGCCATATGCTCAAAATTTGCCAAAGCTTCAGAGCTAGGCAAACCTTAGTCCTGGAGGTCAAGCTCCTAGACAGAGTCAGTCATAACTCCCATCCCCTCAGGCAACTGCAGAGCAGGTGCTGGGGGTAGAAGTTAACTAAACTGGGGCTTTGCTGGCATTCCCACAGCCACAGGTGGCACAGAGCAGGGAAAGATCTGCAAGTTTCACTTGCTAAAGGGTGGCTGCTCCGTGCCAACACCAACCACCCCCTCCCTTACCAGGCACCTGGGCAGGAAGCTGCTCCCACCACAGAGGGGAACCCCAGCGACACAACAGAGCTCAGGTTTGCACAGCTCAGGTTTACAGAGCTCTCACGCCAGATCTTACAGTCCAAAAGCACCAGGAATAAACCCCTCCTTCCACACTGTCTCATTCCTGCCTCGCCCAGGAATGTACCCACCACTCTGCAGACGTGCCTGTGCTCTCTTTCAGTGGGACAAATGTACAAGCTAAAGACTAAGCACCTTAAGTGGATCTTTTAAGATCAGTGTGCGCTCGTTACCAGAGAAGCCCTCTGAAAAAGCTTGTGCAAACACTCCAGGGCATGCCTTGGAAAGCCATTTTGACAGCTGAATGGGAAAAGCACTCTGCAAGCATAAAACACTTCCATACAACAAAAAAGCTCTCATTTTACTCTATAAGCTTCCTGACTCCACTTCATTTAAGATAAAACTTGTAAGGCTCAAAGCCTGGGTCAGAGAGGCTTTTGATCCCAGGTATATCCCTTCCTCAAGCTAATCTGCTTCTGAAAGAAATATCAATAAATCAGATAAGCAATCAGCATCTCTACTGCCCTGGATACCTCCGCAAGAAGCTAAACTAATTTTAAATCTTGAGCAAGGTTTGATGTTAGGAACAGCTCAGCCAAGTAAGAGGCAGACAGGAGTAACAGTGTCTGAATTTCCCCAAGCGCTGGGCTGACAGACCGAGGCACACAAACAGGTAAGCGCATACAATCACCAACCTTCCAAACTCTCCTGAGCGTCCGGAGACAGACCCCCATTCTGTAGCTGGTCATGTAGAAACTGGATGATGGAGTAGGCAAGGCGCTTCTGGTCTGCCATTCCGGGAGGCTGTGAGCAGTCTGCTTCAATCTCTTGTAACTTTAAAAAAATCTGTAGAGAAAAGATATATGACTTGATGGACAAGAAGTCAAAGAGCTTTTCTGCTGCTCTCTCCCATTCAGAATGGGGGAGGATAAGGGAGTTGTTTAGGACTGGCCAAGGCCACCAGAGGCCTCATTAGAACCTCTGCTGTAACCACAACCTCCTTTACCTGAATTCTCCGGGCCCCAGTTCACCCTCCTCAGCGCGAGCTGCGCAGCACAGTCCTGCCCCACAAGGCTCCTGCCAGGGGAAATATATCAAAGTTGTTGCAGGCACTTAGGCTACCGAAACATCTCTGGCTGACCAGGACTAGACAAACTGAGCACTGAGGAGCTCACTGCTAAGAAACCAGTCGTCTCCTTCCAGAGTCTAACCTGACTCTGAAACAAAAACAAAGGCTGAAGCATCTTGCCACCGTGAGCAGAGCCGGGGTTCAGGGCTGCCAACACTCCGTGCTGCTTGCCAGCCTACCCCGCCAGGACACCGATGGTAAAGGAGAGAGAGGACTCAAAGCAGAGTGACCCTCCCTAAGCACACCCCAAGGCTGGGGCTTCCCAGAGATCCCAACACAGGTCCTGTGAGTACAAAAGATGCAGCTCCCTGTACGCCACTGCTGCGGTGCTGAAGCGCTCTGCTGCTCCAAAACGGGTGTGTAGTGCAGAAAACCATTCAGGGTGACTTAAAACCATTCAGGGTGACTTAACAGAGAAATTAAATTGCTTGAACACAAACTCTGTGAAAGCAAGCCCAACAGAGTTAAGCTGGCCCCAAACCCACCAGCCCCAGAGAGGCAGCTCAGTGCTTGCCTTAGGGGAATGTCTGTGCCTGGCTCCCCGCCCCAGGGACGAGAGAGACCACAGAGCCCGCAGAGGGAGGAAGGGCGGAGGGAGGCACCTCTCCGGCCCCGGCCGCAGCGCCCTGCGGTGCCCCTGGGGAGGCAGAAGGGAGGCAGGCCCGAGGGGCGCGGCGGGCAATGGCCCTGCTCCCGGCAGAACGACCCCGCTCACACAGCGCTTGGTAAGGAGAAGGGGAACAGGGGCAGGGCTCGCCTGGCCGGCCAGGGGAAGGCAGCCGCGGCCTACGCGGGGCGGGGGAACACGGACACCTCTCCACAGCCCCGGGCCCGGCCCACACCGGACCCCGGGCGAAGGGAGCGCCAAGCTGGACTGCTGCCCCCGCCGGTACTGGAGACGGGCGTCTCCCAGCGGGGAGCAGAACAAAGCGAAGCGGAACAGAACGAAACAAAACGGAACCCAGCCCGGTCCCGCCCCGCTCACCGGGCGCCCCGACACTCACCTCAGCCGGGGCGGGCTCAGCACTGCGCACGCGTCACCCCGCTCTCGCGCCTGCGTACTGCCCCCGCCACCAGGCCCCGCCCCGCCCCACCCAGGCCGGGACGACGCGACAGCGCAGGCGCGGAGTCTCCAGTGCATGCGTGGTTTGGCGCGCCTCGGGGGCGGGGCCGGCGGCCAGAAGCGCCGCTCTCGCTCCGCCTTAATTTTTACCATCGAGAGGGGGCGTTGCCATGGGAACGGGAGGGCTGGGACGGGGTACGGTGCCGCCGGGACGCCGCCCCCGGTACTGCCCCGCGGCCGCCGGCGCTGAGGGGCCGGGGCAGGGCTGGGGCTGGACGTGTCCGGGCGGCCGGGCCGCTTCCCCCGGCCCCGGGGAGGGTGAAGGGATGGGGAGAACGGCCCCCCGGTCCTCCACTCTCCCAGAATCCCTCGGTGCGGCCTTTCTCTCCGCCCGCCTCTATGGTTGGGGCACATGCTCGGTGCGTGGGGCCGGCGCGGTCTCGTCCCGGCCTCGTCAGCAGCGGCGGGGCCCCCCAGCACCCCCGGCATGGCCCCCCCCACAGGTACCGGGCGGCGGGGGGGGCAGTGGGCGGGCTGGCAGCGCCCGGGGTGGGCGAGGGGAAGATGGAGGAGAGAGGGAGGGGGGGCAGGAGGAGGGAGCCGGGGGCGGTCCCCCAAGTTTTGCGTAGGGAGGTGCCCCCCCCGCTGTCACCTCTCTGCCCCCACAGCCCCCGCCGCGGGGCAGGGGACAGTCCCCGGACTGCGAGAGCCTCCCCCCACCCCCCCGTGGGCAGAGGCACCTGCCAGGGGCACGGCGGGGAAGGAGTCGGGTTTCTGTGAAGGGCTTGTCACAACCGAGAGGGTAGACAGTGCCCGGAAAATAATCCGGCTGCCGATTGCTGCCAGCGCCCTGCTTCCTTAGGAGCTTGCCTGTCAGCGTGGGTTATTAAGTGTTTTTCTCGAGCTTTAGCTACGCAGCTGAATTTTGTTTCCAGCTCGCCTAAGACTGTATCTCACAGACCGTTTCCTCCCCACGTCCCCAGGAAACGTTGTGGATAGCCAGGCCCCCAGGCTGTTGGCAAATCAGCTAAGATGGGACCTGACTGCCGAACAGATAGAAAATATGGCAGCAGAGCTCACAGAGAGGACAAAGCTTGTGTACGACTGGGTGGGCTCCCAGGAGCAGGGCGAGGTGTCCTATGAAAACACTCTTAAGGCCCTGGCAGATGTGGAAGTGGAATATACGGGTACGTACACCAAGAGGGAGTATTGGCTTTTGGGAAATCAACATGTTGGTATTAAGTTTTTTTTTTATTATTCTGTACTATCATCTTTTTTTTTTTTTTTCCCTTGGCTCCCTCAGCAGTATGTGTTTTTTGTTTTTTGTTTTTTGTTTTTTGTTTTTTTTCAGTTAGTGTTTATATAGCTATATATAAGTACAAAGAATACAGTAGATTTGGAACGGAAACACAAGTCTAAAACAAGGATGGCACTTTGGCAGCAGGATGGTCTGCGGGAGGAGTAGTGAGGTTTTCAAGGTTGTCTCCTGCTTTTATGTGTCAAGGTACATCCGTGGGAACAAATTGTGCTTTGTCAGACATGGTTCGGACAATCTAAGAAATCTTCAGCTCTTTTCTAACTTTTTTCCCTGAGGCAGCGGATAAATATCTCTCCGTGTGCCTTGTTTAAACACTGCTATCATTTTAGAGATTATGTGTAAAGTAACATGACATGATGGCATCATGCTGGCAAGCAATGCGGGCGTCGATAGATCTCTGGCTAATTATTTACAGCAGTAGAGTGCCAAAGTCACGCAGCCCCCCTCCTGCCTTGCGGCTTCTGTTCGCTGTCCTGACCGCCCATGTTGTGAGGTGTCACGTCTGAATAAAGCAGCAGCCACCCTGCAAGCCTCTTCTTTCTTCTCTCTGATTTATTTTCACTAAAATAAGAGGAAAAGCCCTTACTAAGCAGGGGTAGTGTTAACTTCAGCAGAACTGTCAGCACTTTCCGTGGGCAACAGAGAGTAGCAGCCTGCTCACCTTCTGCTGGGCAGAGAGTTCTCATTGCCTGGAGGGCAGCGCCTTCCCTCTGGAGTTGTGTTATTTGAGGTTTTGCAGAGATTCTGGCAGGGAATGTTCTCCCTGTTTTCACTTCTAAAATGGAAATACGTCAGGACAGAGCACACCTGGGACATGACAGCTCTTGAAGAGTGTCTGCAGCAAAGGTGTGTCACTTTTAGCCTGATCCTCTAAGGAAAGGAGTTATGCAACGATGCTGCCCGTGTGTCAGCCAGCGTAGAAGTCCTGTGATTCTTGAAACTGTTGATACCGGCTGTAGCTGGGGAAAGGCGTTGGGATCTCATGGATGTGAAATCCTTGTGAGTTTTGTGAGAAAGATGGACTGTAGTGGGAAATTGGTGGGACAGACGTGCTCAGCAGCGAGGAAAGGGTGATTGGATGCTGCTCAGAGAGGACAGCTCTGGGTTTATCTGACAGCAGCAGCTTGCCTTGCTCTTCCTTTGGGTGGGTGGGCAGGTCAGGCTCCAGGGCCATCAAACTGGCTCCCAGTTAACACAGGCTCTCTGTGCACACTCCCACTCACGAGCCGTTCTGGGATGTGAAGCCATCGCCTTCGCTGCAATCCCTCTTCTGTCTTTCCAGTCCGTCGGAACATGCTGGACTTCCCCCAGCATGTCTCTCCTTGCAAAGACATCCGTGCAGCGAGCACCGAGGCTGACAAGAAGCTCTCGGAGTTCGACGTGGAGATGAGCATGAGGCAGGATGTGTACCAGAGGATTGTCTGGCTCCAGGTATGTGCGTGGGAGGATGCATCTGAGCAGGGCACTGAAACCTCCTGGAATTACAGCAAACCCTTTTCCCTTGCCCCAGAACTTAGAAGTGAGTGATATTGAGTCAGATCTGGAACTGAATCGCTGTGTGATCATAGCAGAATGGTCCAGCTGTTAGTGGGAAGTGGGGACCTGGGGTTTCAAGGCTCTTTCCCCCCTCTCAGGGCCTCGATTACCCCTTTGGTAAAATGGTGTTAGTAAGCCCAGCTTGCCTCACACAGGGAAGGGGCTGGGTAATGCCCCAAAGAGTGCTGTAATACTGCATGAAGGTGAGATGTTTAAAGCAATCCGATAGGAACCAACACACCAAACCAAAGCCTTCTTGTGGGCTGTTTCCATCTACTTCTGGGTCACTGGTGTTACAATAACCCACAACTCCTCCCAGGAACTTTCTGCAACACCTGATCCTGTGGTTCCCTGTGCTCATGGGTTTTGTTTTACAGGAGAAAGCAGAGAGCGCTTCACTGAAGCCTGAAGCAAAGAGATACCTAGAGAGGCTGATCAAATTGGGTAAAAGAAACGGTCTCCATCTCCCTGAGGAGACGCAGGAGGTGAGATCACAGAGCTTAAAGCAAGCACATGTAGAGGGGGCCTTGCCAGGATAATGGGACGGTGTAACATAAGAGCAGAGGACTGAGGCTCAGACTCTGGAATTCTGCCCCTGGTTGCTGTCACTCTGGTCACACTGGGTGATGTCTCCGTGCCCCTCTACTCTTTTCCATTGGTGGGGATGACATTTATAAAGTGGGGTCAACGCTGGGAGTTGTGGGGCTCCTGAGAAGCTGAGGTTGCAGATGGGGCAGTGCAGGTCAGGAGTGGAAGTCCCCACATGCAGTCAGGGAAGGTGCCCCCCTGGAGCTGGGGGCGGGGTGAGTGGGCTGCGGGGGCTGAACTGCTCAGGGTCTCCCTCTCTCACCCTGTGCCAGTGGCTCAGTAAAGGAGCTGGGTTAAAAATAGAAGAGAAGGTGAAATGAAATAAGGGTGAAGGAGGTTGTTGCTTAAACACCTGCAGCTCCTGAGCTGGCAGGAGGCAGTTGGGACCTTGCTGAGGTGGCTGCTTTCCTACCAGGTGTGATCAAAGGGAGCCTGTTCTGGGCTGAGAGCTCAGCGCCTGCATGCAATTAATTCTGCAGCGTTGCTTTTGAATAAAAGCCAAGTGCAGACTGCTGGGCAACTCGGCAGGCAGGCTGACAGCTGGAGATGGTGAACGGTGCTGTTTGACTTCTCCCTTTGGACTGACTTTTCTCTGTTCATCTGTATTTTAAAGAAAATCAAAGCTATTAAGAAAAAGCTGAGTGTCCTTTGCATAGACTTCAACAAGAACCTCAATGAAGACACCACCTACTTGCCCTTCTCGAAGGAGGAACTAGGTATGGAGCCCTTGGGCTTATTTCTTTGCTGGTGTGGCCCTGAGTGCCTGGATTCCTCTGGCCAAGGAGCAAGAGCCTGTTCCTGTGCTCAGTCCCCTGGTATTTCTGGAGAGGCTTGGGCTCTCCATCAGTCCTGTCTTTTCTCAGGGGGGCTCCCTGAGGACTTTCTGAACTCCCTGGAGAAGACGGAGGATGGCAAGCTGAAAGTCACCTTGAAATACCCACACTATTTCCCTCTATTAAAGAAGTGCTATGTGCCTGAGACGAGGAGGAAGGTGGAAGAAATGTTCAACTCCAGGTGCAAAGAGGTAGGTGGGCCTTGCTGCTTGCCAGCAGGGCTGGATGGGATCCAGGTCAGGTCCAGGCACCGCAGGGGTCTCATCTGAAATCTGTGCTTCTTTCCACACCGAGCCTTGTCCTTCCTTTCTCACCTGCGTACCCCACTTCGCTCTTTTTTTCCCTCACTCTACCTTGCAGGAGAATTGCTCGATCCTCAAGGAGCTGGTGGACTTGCGGGCTCAGAAAGCCAGTCTGCTGGGCTTCACCACGCATGCGGACTTTGTGCTGGAGATGAACATGGCTAAAAGCAGCAAGACAGTGGCTACGTTCCTGGGTGCGGCACTTGGCTGTGGAGGGGAAGGGCAGGGGCATGTGCTGGGCTGGGTGTGCTGCTCTCAGCCCCAGGCACTCACCCTGCCTGCCTTGCTTTTCCTAGATGAGCTGGCCCTAAAGCTGAAACCTCTTGGGGAGAAGGAGCGGGCTGTCATCCTGGACCTGAAAAAGAAAGAGTGCGAGAAGCGTGGCCTGGAGTTTGACAACCGCATCAACGCCTGGGACATGCGCTATTACATGAACCAGGTGGAGGAGACCAAGTACAGCGTGGACCAGAATCTGCTGAAGGAATACTTCCCCATGCAGGTGGTCACCACGGGCCTGCTGGCCATTTACCAGGAGCTGCTGGGGCTCACCTTCCACCTGGAAGAGAAGGCTCAGGTCTGGCACGAGGATGTCCAGCTCTACACGGTGAAGGATACCTCCTCCGGGGAGACCATCGGCAAATTCTACCTGGACCTGTACCCGCGGTGAGGCCTTGGGCAAGGTGATGAGAGGGAGGAGAGCTAGGGCAGGGGGAGCAGAGCCTGCCACGTGCCTGAGGAAGAGGAGAGGCTGTCCTGCTCCTGGGTGCATGGCCGTGTGGAGGGAGCGCTGTGAACTCGGGCAGGGCTGTCCCAGGAGCGTGGGGTCGCCAGGGGCTGCTGCTCTGAGCTGCTGGCTGGCCGTGGCGGGGGAATCCGTGTAACAATCTCCTCTTCCTGGCCTAGGGAAGGGAAGTACGGGCACGCAGCCTGCTTCGGCCTGCAGCCAGGCTGCCTCTTGCCAGACTCCAGCCGGCAGATCTCAGTGGCTGCCATGGTGGCCAACTTCACCAAGCCCACGCTGGATGCACCTTCCCTGCTGCAGCACGATGAAGTGGAGACGTACTTCCATGAGTTCGGGCATGTCATGCACCAGCTCTGCTCCCAGGTGAGGCCTGGCTGGGCTGGCAGAGGGTTGGTTTGTTACCTTTCCCCTGTCGTGCTCCCTGGGGGGTTAAATGACGCTCCGCTCTGAGCTTGCCGTGTCTCCTAGGCGGAGTTTGCCATGTTCAGTGGGACACACGTGGAGCGAGACTTTGTCGAGGCACCGTCACAGATGCTGGAGAACTGGGTGTGGGAGAAGGAGCCGCTGCTGCGCATGTCCAGGCACTACAAAACTGGAAGCCCCATCCCTGATGAGCTGCTGGAGAAGCTCATTAAATCCCGGCAGGCGAACACAGGTGGGTCCCTGCAGAGGGAAGTGGGAACCAGCAAAGAGGGGCTGGAGGGGACCGAGGGCTGTGTGCTGACCCCAGCGAGGGCAGAGCCATGCGGTGGTGTCCCCTGTGCGTGGGGAGAGGAAGGGGACCCTTAGTGACCTGGCTGGGTAGAGGATAAAGCTTTGCCTTGCTCCCCGTGGTGCTGTGGGGATGGAGGGGATTGAGGGGAAGAAGCCACATCTGCTTGCTGTTAATCTGGGAAGAGCGAGGGTGGCGTGGCAGGAAGTGCAGCGGGCTGGGTGGTGGCACGGTGACAAGAGGCGCTGGGGAAGGCAGAGGTTATCTGCAGGCAGAGGGATGCAGCTTACACCTGAGCGGGTGCTGCTGAACCGGGCTGGTCTGGGGAAGCGGGTCAGAAATCGGGTGTGGGGAGAACTGTGGGAGCCCCCCCCTCAGCCTGCCCTGCTGCATCCCGGCCTCGGAGACGCTCCTGCCTGCAGGCAGTGGTTCAGTTTGCCTTCTCCTTCCGAGAACAGGGCTCTTCAACTTGCGTCAGATCGTCCTGGCCAAGGTGGACCAGGCGCTGCACACCCAGACGAAGGCTGACCCCGTGGAGGTGTTTGCCCAGCTGTGTGAAGAGGTGCTGGGCGTCCCTGCCACCCCAGGTACCGGGGGGCTGGGGGTCCCTCTCTCGCTGTCTCTAGGCCTGGCCTGCAAGCTTGGCTCAGCAGGTTCTTTTCAAGGCTGGGGCTTCAGGCTGGGCTCAATGGGGACAGTTTCTGCTGGCTCCAGGAAAAGCAGGGCTGAAACCATACAAAAATAACTGGAAGGTTCTTCCTTGTTTCCCCTGGGATTGCGAACAAGCTGACCCAGTGCCTGCTTTGACACGTTTACAGCACGGAGAGGTTTTTCCGTGCTGTGAGCGGTTCCAGCAGCCTTTCCCGTTAACGCCCTTTCCCTTCCTTTGCCCCAAAGGTACAAACATGCCCGCTACATTTGGCCACTTGGCCGGAGGCTACGATGCCCAGTACTACGGCTACCTCTGGAGCGAAGTGTACTCCATGGATATGTTCCATACACGTTTCAAGCAGGAGGGGATCATGAACTGTAAGGTACGGGGGACGTCCTGTGCTGCCGGGCTCTCGGCATGTGCCAGGGGCTGCCTCCCCTGCCAGAGCTGGTAGAAGACATCCGGGGAGCAGCAGCAGTGGGAGGGCGGGTGTCCAACACCTACCCTGGTGTCTCTCTTCGCAGGTGGGCATGGATTACAGGAATTGCATCCTGCATCCTGGTGGTTCCCTGGATGCTTCCGACATGTTGAGGAAGTTCCTGGGCCGCGAACCCAAGCAGGACGCCTTCCTGGCCAGCAAAGGACTGAAGGTAGAGAGCAACTCACTGCCTTCGGCCTGCTGAGAAGCTGCTCCAGCCCGTTTTGAGTCAAGCCAGCTCCTTTGTCTACGCACCAGTCCTCTCAGGCCAAGCAATACCCGGTACTTCTGTCACCAAACGCATCCTGGGCCAGCCCCTGCCTGGAGCTGTTCCTCCAGGATCCTGCTCCAAGCTCACCCTGGGCTTCAGGAGCCGGGTTCAGCCCTGGTCCAGGGCTCTGCGGTGACAGCTCTGCAAAGAGTTGAATTGCCTTTGTCATCCCCCTCCCCGAGGGGGATGGGGCTGTCGGTAGCCCACACAAATTGGCTGAACTTTGAACCTGATTTCTGCACGAGGGTGAGTTTCGGCCTCATTTATAGCTGGGGAGGAGGGTGAGAGGAGTTACCAAACTTGAATCATTGTTTTAAAATCCCTTCTTTTTAAGAAATAAGACTTCCCACCAGGCTCGCCTTGTTTTGTGCCCTGGGGCAGGCTTACTGTTCAGAGCACGAAACAAGCGGCTGGCCGGAGAAGCTGTGCTGGGGGTCGTGCTCTCCCTGTCTTTGGGCAGCTGGCAGCTGTGGAATAAAGATGGGGACATCCCAGAGCTTAAAATCCACTGCGTTTACTGGAACGTCCTGCCCTGAGCCCCTTGGATGTTCCTGCTGGGGCAGCCCGCCTGGGAGGGGGGCAGAGGTGGCCCATGCTTGGGACCATCTCAGGGCAGCTGATGCCTTCTGGGCTCGGGTTGTAGCAGCAGGAGGGTGTGTTGCTATTGCTGTCACCTCTAAGCCAGGGTGGGACAGGGGAAGGCTGTGGGGAAAAAAAAAAAAAAAAAAAAAAAAAGGACAAAAAAAAAAAAAGCAGACAGCTTCAAACACGGATGCCGGGGATAAAAATATCAAATGGGCTTTGTGCCAGGCCTTGAGCGGCCGGGTGCTGGGTGCGGCACCGAGCCGGGGGACAGCAGCCAGCCCTTTGCCCAGCCTCGGGAGCCAGCAGGGCCGTGCCACTTGTCCCCCCCAGTGTTGTCCTGTCCTTGAGAAGGCTTAAAACCAGTGCCGGCGTGGCGTGCCCCTCTCTGCTCGCCTCCCGGCACCGCTGTGGGTCTGAGCGGCTGGAGGGAGGGAGCGCTGACCCCAGGGGCAAAGGCTGGTTTTGCTCACGTAGGAATCATGCGTGGGCTGGGGAAGGGGTTTAGCCCTGAGCGTGCGGGGCAGGCGGACGGTAGGATGAACCTCGGAGGGGAGCTGTGAGCTCCTGCCGGCCTGGGGGGATTTGTGGTGAGGGGGTAGGGAGGGCAGATCTCATTTTCTGGTGTCCCATCCCGGCCCCGGCCTGGGACCTGCCGTCCCTCCCCGGCTCAGTTGTTTGTTCCCTTTGCTTCTCCTCTCGTCTGGGCTGCGTCACCGGCGCGGCTCCGGCTTCCTTCCCCGTAGCTGCTGGTGAGAGTGTTGGAAGAAAGCTCACCCCCAGTGCAGACAAAGTCGTTGTTGTCACCTCCCTCCCTCAGACCCCCCCTGGTGACACCGGTGACACCCTCCCTAGCCGGTCCCCTCTTGTGCTGACATGTGGACAGGGCTGCGAGCAGCGAAGCGGCTCCTTGGTGCTTGCTGGGGCCACGTTGAGCATCTTGTCTTTGTCCCCACCCTCTGTTTTAGGCATAGGCGAGTGTCCCAGGTGCTCTCGAGTTGACGCTGTGGGTGTTTTAAGTGTCATGTTTTACTGAGCTTTCAGCGTTTTCTTTCAGACCTCTTCTCTCGAGGGAGAGAACTTGAAGCTGAACGGGGAAACCACGCGCTTTCCTCCCTCCTTCCCAGGCCACTGTTACCTCTGCTCCTCCCTCCAGTAACCCCGGCGGTGCGGGGAGAGGGGCTGCCGGCGGCCGGGGCCGGGCAGAGCGGGGGGACCTGGTGCCCTTCCCTGCGCACGCGTGAGCCCCAGGAGCCACGCCGGGCTCCTTGGAGCTGCACCTCCTCCCTCCCAGCTCCTCCTCCCCATCCCGTCCCAGGCTGGTGGGGAAAAGAGGTCCCTTTCAGGTTTGGGGTTTTGTTTTGGTTTTGTTTTTTTGTTTTTTTGGTTTTTTTCAATTTTATTCTGTTAACCATTTTAAGGGCAAACTGGTGTGTGTGTGTGTGTGTGTGCCGTTTGTAATGGTCACGTCCCACCCTGCTTGTTTCCATGACTTGGATTTTAGACGGTTCCTAGCACTAATAAAGGTTTTCCTAAGCGGATGTTTGCGTGGCTCGGGTCCTGCGGGGGGGAGGTGGCTGCCCTCCGGGGTGGCGGGGGGGCGAGTCCCGGCGTTCCCGGCACAGCCACCCCCTCGCCAGCGCCACGGCAGCCCCCCGCAGCAGCCTGCCCAGGGGGTCCTGTCCCACGAAGACGGGCACCGAGCGGCAGGCATGAGGCGGCAGCCTGTCCGGCGTGAAACCCTGGGGAGCAAGAGGCAGTGAAACCCCCGTGTGTGTGTGTGTGTATCCCCTCCCCGTGTCCGTGTGGGCTCTCTGTGTGTCCCCCCCGCCACCCTGCCAGCCCCACACCTGGGTGAAGAAGCCGTGGTCCAGCATGTCCCGCAGGCTGGGCCGTGCCGCGGGCTCGGGGGCCAGCAGCCGGGCGATGAGGGCCCCGGCGCGGGGCGAAAGGTGGGGGGACGGCGGGTACCGCGCCGCCCGGATGCGCCGGTACAGCTCCTGCCGCTGAGCCGCCTCAAACGGGGGGCTGCCCGTCAGCACCGCGTACCTGGGGAAGGGGCGGGAGGGGGGGGAGAATCCGGCTGGTTAGCGGGGGCTGCAGCACCCCCCTGCCCACCCGCCCTCCACGGCCCCGCTTACGTGACACAGCCCAGCGCCCAGACATCCGAGGGCACCCCGTGTCCCTTGCGGTCCAGCACCTCCGGCGCCAGGTAACTGGGCGTCCCGCAGAGCGCACTGGGGAGATGGGCAGGGTGACACCACCCCCCCCGGCCCGGCAGCACCCCCCCCCGGAATCGCCGCTGCCCCACTCACCCCCAGCGCCGGCCGGCCGGTGCCTCCCGCCGCGCCAGCCCCAGGTCCCCGATCTTCACCTGCATCTCCTCCGTCACCAAGAAGTTACCTGCGGAGGAAGATGAGGAAGGGGGAGGGCCCAGCGTGCCTCACACCCCCCCACCCCCCCCCCCCGCCGCCCCAGCTCTACCCCACGCACTCAGCTTGAGGTCCCGGTGGACGATGCCCTGTCCGTGGAGGTAGCGCAGCCCCGCGATGATCTGCCGCAGGTAGTACCGCACCTCCGGCTCCGTCAGCCTGCCCCGGGCCCGCAGGATGTCGGCGAGGGACTGGGGACGGAGCGAGAGGCCAGCTCGGTGTCTGGCAAAGCCCCAGTCACGGGGCTGCTCCGTTTTGGGGTGCCAGCGCTCGCTCACCCTCCGGCTGCAGTACTCCAGCAGCAGGTAGACGTGGCTGCGGTCGGCGAAGTGCCGGTGGAGGCGGACGATGTGCCGGTGGCGCAGGCGGCCGTGCAGCTCCCGTTCCTGCTCCACCTGCGTCGGCACAAACCCGGCATTCCCCTCACCCCCCCCCCCCCTCCCTGAGGAACCCCGAGGAACCCTCTGGATCCGAGGACCCCCACCACGCACCCTCGGGGACATGGGGATGGGAACCCACCCAGCGACCCCAAGAAGGGGCTCTGCAGGGTCCCCATGGGCATCACCCCACACACACACACTCCCCGGGGACTTTCTGGGGGTCCCCTGGACTCACCCTCTCCCTGACGCCTGCCGTGGCCAGCCGGGCTCGTGGGATGACTTTTGCCGCATAGACCCTGCCGCTGGCCACCTCCATCACCTGGTAGCAGCACCCAAAGGCCCCCTGCGAGGACGGACCCGCAGGAGTGAGCACCCCGGGGCAAGAGGCTGTGGCAGAAGGGGGTCCCGGGTGTCAGGGTGCCTGGCCACGTGCCCTTTTCCCCAGGGGACCCAGCTGGCACTGGCCCCAGCCACCGGCTCTGCTCTGGCTTGGTCCCAGCTGCTTCAGTTTCCCCTTCCCCAGGGGGAATGTGGTGGGGAGCGGGACCCCCCGGGATCCCCGTGGAGTGCAGGTGTGTGTCGCTGCCGGGGTGCCCGGCAGTTGGGGGGTGCTGGCTGGGGTGAGGGTCTGGCTGGGGGTGCAGGGACGGGGGGGGATTTACCTCTCCCAGGAACCGTCCCCGCTTGTAGAGCATCCCACTGCCCGCGTCCCCAATGTAGCAGCCGGGGAGCTCGTCCCCTTCGTGCCCCAGGACCATCCTGCCTGCTCTGCTGTGCCCTGCGGCGGGGACACCCCAAGGGACACCCGCACCCCAGCGCTGTAACCCCTTCAGCTCCAGGCTGGGGGTGCCTGGGGCTGCCCCATGGGGCCTGAGGGTGCTGGGTGCCCCTTCCCCCCCCCCCCAGCACCCCGAGCTCTGCCAGCCCCTGGCACCCCAAGCCCCCACCCAGCAGATCCCACTGCATCTACCGATCACTAAGTGGGGACCCCCAGTATGACCAAGCCCCCCCAGGGATGCCCAGCATCAGGGGGTACCGGGAGACCGGGCGGGGGGGGTCCCGTCTGCCCCTTCCCCTCTTCAGCCGGGGCTGGGGGGGTGCCGGGGGGGGCGCAGATGCTGCGGAGATGCATCTGCACCCCCCCAGGACCCCACCTTAGCAACCCCCTCGGCCGCCGGAGCTCCGGGCCCCGAAGGGTTAACGGGCGGCCGGGGAGGGCTGGGCGCACCTTTGGGGCTGGATATTAATAACGCGGCGGGGAGGGACGGGAGGCGAGCCGGGGGGGTGGGGGGGGAAGCCTCGCCCGGCCCCCCCCTGAGCTGCGCAGGCGATGCCCGATCGTCCCGGGTCCCCCCTCCCCGCCGCGGGGCCGCCGGGCCGGGACTGAGCCGCCGGGACGCCCCGGACGAGGGGCGGCATGAGCGGGTGGGAGTGTTGGGGAGGCCCCGTCCCCCGCGGGGGACCCCACGGTGCCGGGTAAGGTCCCGATTTCTGCTTAACCCCTCGCGGACCCCCGAGGTGTCCCCGTTTCGCCCCCCCCCCCCCCCCGCCCCGCCCGGGGTCAGCTTCGCTCCTGCGGGGAAACTGAGGCACGCAGTGCGCCCCCGATCGTCAGCGGGATCTGGGCACCACCCGACCGGGGTCCGGAGCCCCCCCTGTATCCCCACCCCGGAGCGACGGCACCGCGGCAGCCCGCCCGTCACCCCCCCTCCTCCCAACCCTGCCGGGGGGGTCCCACGCATCCGGGGCTGTGGGAGACCCCCGATCCCCGTGGGAGCTGCGCGGCGGGGGGGAAACCGGCTCGGCCGGGGGATTCCTCGACACGGGGCTGGGACGCCGGCACCCCCCGGCACCTCCAGGCTGAGCAGGTTGGGGTGCTGCAGGGTCAAGCGCTTTGGGATCTTGGACGGGGGGTGCTCCCCGCTGCCCCCTCCCTCACACCCCCCCCCCGCTCGCCCCACGGCGGGGCCGGATCCGGATCAGGGAGCGACACGGAGCCCCGGCGCCGCCGCGCAGGTCTGGTCCTGTCCCGGCAGGCAGCGAGCCCGGCCCCGGCTCCCCGCCGCGGGGCCGTGGGTGCGGCGGGGGCCGTCTCCCGTGGGTGCGTGTGCGGGACACGGCATCAACCCCCTCGGCTGCGCCCACCCACTTGGCCCCGCTCGACGTCAGACATCCCTGGGGGGTGTCACCGGGACCCTCCCGCCGTGTCTCGTCCTTGTCACCATTTCGCCTCCTTCCCCCTCGCCAGGGTCCCCGTGGGGGGCACGGTGATGGTGTGTGTGTGCGTCCCTGCCTTGACAGCGCTGGCAGCACCGATGAGGGGATGTGGGACCCCCCGGTGCCCCCCAAACCCTGGGGATGGTGGGGCTCAGGGCTCTACTCCCGCAGGTGCCGGTGGCTGTGGCGGCTGCTGCTCCTGGCCTGGCTCAGCCTGGGCTGCAGCGTGGGCACAGCGCAGGTGAGAGGTTTGGGGTGCACGGCAGCACCCTCGGGCTGCTCAAACCCGGCCCCGGCACTGACCGTCACCTTCCTCCACGCAGGGCCCAGCCCTGGGGACATCAGTGCAGGTCCCCAAGCCCCCAGCCCCTGCTCGGCCCCGCCGGCAGCCGGCCCGGAGTGTCTGGGGGTCCTGGGGACCCTGGAGCTCCTGCTCCAGCTCCTGCGGGGACGGCGTCGCCCTCCGCACCCGGAGGTGCCTGCGGTGAGTGGGGGACGGGGCAGCATGGCCCCCCCCAGGGTATCCCCACACCCTCTCACAGCACCCAAACCCCTCGCAGCACCCAAACCCCGTGTGGCAGCCAAATCCTGCAGCACGGCTTTGCTACCACCTCCGCGCGTGTCCCTGCAGGCCCTCGGCACCCTCCCCAAATTTCAGCCTGATTTTGGAGGGAACTGAAGTGGGAAGGGTGGGGGGTGAGGGGCCAAGCCCTGGTGCCTCCATCCTGGGGTGCAGCTCTGGCAGGATGCGGCCCCATGCAGGACACCGTGGGCCCTGCTCCTGCTCCCCCGTGGGGATGTATCACACCTGGCTTCGGCTCAGTGGCTCGGTGACATCCTGGCCCCAAAGCTGGGGGGAGTCCTCATGGGAGCTGCAGGGTGCAGGCAGGGCTGCTGGGGGGGGTGGGGGGTGGGGGGTGGGGCTGTGCCCCAGCCCCACTGTGTGACTCTGTGGCCGCAGATCGGCAGAGGAGGAGCCGTGCACAGGTGACCCACGGCAGTACCGGCTCTGCCAGCTCCAGGTGAGCGTGTGAGAGCCAGGGCATGACATGGCTGGCTCCATCGTCCCCATCCTGGGGGCTCCATCATCCCCATCCCACGGGGCTCCATCGTCCCAATCCCGGGGGCTCCATCCTGCCGCTCCCGCAGGGCTGTCCCGGTGGCTCGGTGCCCTTCCGTGCCATGCAGTGCTCCCTCTATGACAACAAGCCCGTCCTGGGCACACCGGCCCGGTACCGCTGGGTGCCCTTCCACGGAGGTGAGTCCCGGGGCGGCGGGCGGCATCACCAGGATGATCCGGGGGGGGCCACGGCTCCCACCAGCATCACCCCCTTCCCTTCCACCCGGCTCCGGCAGCCCCCAACGTCTGCGACCTCAACTGCCTGGCCGTGGGGCACAACTTCTACTACACCTTCGGCCGGGTGCTGGACGGCACCCGCTGCGGCCCCGGCTCCCCGGACCTCTGCGTCGGCGGGCGCTGCCTGGTGGGTGTGCACGGGGCCGGGACCCCCGGGACCCCCAGCTCTGAGCCCCCACCCTGAGGCAGCGTCTCGGCTCCCCACAGAGCGTGGGCTGCGACGGGATCCTGGGCTCGGGCGTGCGGCCCGACGCCTGCGGCCAGTGCGGCGGCGGCCACGACACGTGTCTCTTCGTGCACCGGCTCTTCCAGGGCGCGGAGCCCTCCTCCGGTGAATGAACCATTGCCCCGGCCCCCTCCATGGGTGAATGCTTTGGCTCTTGGCTCCCCTGTCCTCCCATCCCCCTGTCTGTGTCCCTAAGGCATCGCCTGGCTCCCCTATCACCCTGTCTCCTCTCCATCCATCCCATTGCTGCTGGGACGTCATCCCGGATCCCCTCCTGTCCTCAACACGCAGGGACAGGGACAGCGGGCTCAGAGGAGACCCCTCACTGGGGTGATTTTGCCTTGTTGCAGAGGGTATCATTCCTCTGGGGCACCCCTGTGGCCCACGGGGTCCCCAAGGGTATTCAGGGGACCCCGGGGGGTACCCGGGGTCCATGTGTCCATATCCAGTGTCCCTGGCGGTCCTGGCCAGGCTGTGGGTGCAGTGATGCCTGTGAGGGGCAGACAGCTCTGGGTGGCACCCCAGGCCCCCCCAGGGCCACCATCAGCTGCCCCAGATGTCCCAGCACGGGGGGCCCAGCTGGGTTAATGCTGCTGGTGCTGGGGACGGGGCTGGGGCTGCCTCAGAGCCAGAGCTCCTCTGTGCCCAGTCCCCTTCCGCTCCGGCCCCCCCTGTCCCTGGGTTGTCCCCTCGGGCCATGCCCTGGCTCTGCCCTGACTCTGCCTCCCCCCCCACCTCCGCCAGGTTATTTTGGGTACATGAACGTAACCAAGATCCCAGCTGGGGCCACCCACATCAAGGTGACGGACAAGAGCCGCAACTACCTTGGTAGGATGTGTCCTGTCCCCGTCCCAGTCAGTCCCAGTCCACACCAGTTGGTCCGGGTTGGTGCCACCCGTGGGTGCAGGCAGGACAGGGCAGGGGGTGGCCGTGCTGTGCTGGTTCCCCAACTCAAATGCTGTTTTGAGCATCACGGGTTCAGTGAACTCGCCGGCACTCGGGGTAATTTTCCAGAGGCCGCAGATGTGGATTTCGGGAAGGGCTGAGCTGGAGCGGGGCCAGGTCAGTCACCATGGGACAAGGAGCAGGACCCCTCATCCTCAGACCCCCTCCTGATGCAGTTGGGGCCCCCGTCTCCCACCAGGACCAGAGCCTGGGGGCTTGGGGGGGGGTTTTGCACACCAGGGTTTGGCTCCAGCTTGGGACCAAAGCCAAGATCTTACAAGAAAGCAGATTTCTCCCCAGCCCTGAGCGCAGCTCTCCCAGCCCACGCTGCCCTCCCTGCTCAGGGAGAGGCCTCCGGTGGGGCCCCAGGCATCTGGGCTGCCCCCAGCCCAGCCCCACGCGGGGGGTCCCGGGAACCGTGCGGTGCCCGGCCCCTGGACGCGCTCCCTTCCGCAGCCCTGATGACGAGCGATGGGCGCTACGTGCTCAACGGAGACTGGTCCATCGCCTGGCCGGGGCCGTACGAGGTGGCCGGCACCCAGCTGCATTATGCCCGGGCCCCCGACGGCACTGAGAGCCTGGAGGCAGCCGGGCCCACCGCTGAGGATCTGCACGTGATGGTGAGGGTGGGGGCGGTGTGGGGATGGGGGCACCCGGCCCCCCCCATCGCTCCCCTTAGCTCTGCCCCTGCCCGCGCAGGTCCTGCTGCAGGAGCCCAACCCCGGCATCGAGTACGAGTTCTGGCTGCCCCGTGGGCACCCCCAGACCGGCCGTGGTGACACCAGCCCCCTGCGGCAGCCCCAGCCCCGGGGGGCTGGCAGCCCCCCGCCATGGGACCCCCCGCTCACCCTGGCCCCCACGCTGCCACCCCAGCCTGGGGGCTCTGCCACGGAGCCGCCACCAAGAAGCCCCCTGGGCCGGAGCGGGGCCAGGGCTGCCGCAGGTGCCTGTTCCCCCGTGGGGGTCCCCACAGCCCCCCCAACCCCGGGCTCTCAGCTGTGGGGAGGGTCCTGGGGAGCACCAGGGTTTCTCCACAAAATGGGGACCCTAAAAAAGGGTCCCTCCCCAGGACATTCGAGAGCCTTGAGTATCCCCTCTCTCCTTATGGGGTAGGGACCCTCAATGCCCCCTCCCAACCGCCACAGGAGGGGGGTTTGGGGGTGCTGTGTCCACTCTCCCCCCTAAACTGCCACAGCTTTGCCCCCGCAGGGAGATGCGGGAGGTGCCACCCGCCCAAGGGACGCTCCCAGCGCATCCGGCACTTCTGCCAGAGCGATTTCGGTGAGGATGGGAAGGGGCTCGGGGTGATACCGAGGTGGGGGGACACATGCCCGGCTCAGGGTGCCCTGTGCTCGCCCCACAGTCTTCCAGGGCCGGATCCTGGCGCGGCGCTTGGTGGGGCAGGAGACGCGGTACGAGGTGGAGGTGAAAACGTCGTATCGGCACCGCTTCCCACTGGTGCCCCGGGAATATGTGTGGGTGCCCAACACCTGCGGCTGCCCCCCGCTCCGGGAGGGCGGCGAGTACCTGCTGATGGCTCGGCGGCACGTCAACTACGAGCGCACCCTCAACCGCATCCTGCTGCAGGACGATGGCTACGCCCGGCCGTGGACACCCCGCGAGGACCGGCTGGTGCGGGAGGCAGCCCGGCGCTGCCCCCAGCCCCAGTCACCCTGAGCCCCCCCCGGGCTCCAGCGCCCAGGGAGGGGGTGGCTGATGGGGTGAACCCAGGGAGGCTGGAAATGCTCCTGCCACGCACCGAGCCATTTCCACAGCCATGGAGGGGTCAGGGCCGCCCCCCCCCATCCTGCTCTCTGCCCCGTGCCAGGCATTTCACCATCCTTGGGGTCCACTTGGCTGCAGGGGGTGGCGGAGGAGGGTGGTAATTTATTTTTTTTATTTTATTTTTTTTTTTTTCAGAAAATAAACCCATATATCACCTCCCTCGCCGTGTGCCCCTTCCTGGCTGGAGCTGGCCCAGGGTGTCCCATCCCCTCCCCACCCCAGGGTGCCCGGGCAGGGGGGATCCCCTCCCACGTCCCCATGCTGAGCCCCCGCAGCAGCGCACCCGCCCAGCAGCATGTCCCTGTCCCCGAGATGGACGCCGGCCAGGCTCTGCCTTCCGAGGTCAGGGACCTGCCGCTTATCTCTTTTCCGGCGGAGGCGAGCGGGTCCCTCCCCGTGCCAGAGCCCCCTCGCCCGTAACCCAAGCCGTGGGCTGGCGGGCGCAACCGCGGGGCCCGCGCGGGGACGGGACAGGACGGGGGGGTGTTGTGGGGTGGTCTGGCACCCATCCAGGGGTGGGTTTGGACCCGGTGTTGAGCTCTCCCAGCTCGTGTCACTGGTGACTGTTCCCAAATTCGGCACGGGGCGGGGGGGGATACCCTGGCTGGGTGCCCTGGGGTGCACCAAGGGGCAGCTGCCAGCCCAGGAGGGTCCTTAGCACAGTGGGTAATTAATGACCAGAAGCCAGAGATGAGCCCCAGGGGGCAGCTGGGGCTCCGTACTGGGCTCCCCAGCTGGTTCCAGTAAAGCCTGGGTGATGCCAGGTGCCTCGGAGCGAGGGTGGAGGCACTTTCCCAGCCCTAACCACCCCAAGGTGCCTCCACCCTATAAAAGTACCCCCTCCCACCCCCCACCCCCTGTGGATGACAGCTCTGCACTGTCACCTTTGGGTATCCTGGGCTTAGGGTCTCCCTGTCTGGCTGTCCTGGCCATGGCGGGTTTGGGGACAGTCACCCCACGGGCAAAGAGACCCCGCAGGGAGAGCAGAGGGGACCTGGGACTCTGGGTCCCCAGGGCTGGGGCTCGCCAGCGGGCCAAGAGCCGGCAGAGAGAAGGGGAGCAGGGGGAGCATCACCCGCTGCAGGGCTGGGACCCCTGGGGACGCAGCCTGGGCCCCCCCTTGGCACCTGCGACCCCCAGGAAGGGCCAGCTGGTGAAGCTGCGTCTTGAAAGGGAACGTCGCAGGCTGGCGTCTTCTCTCCCCTGCCCTGAGGAAAGGGGTGAGTGTGTGTGTGTGTGTTTGTGTTCTCCACTCACCGCCCCCCCCGGGGCGATTCCCTGCCTGGGGAAGTGGGGGGGGGGGGGGGGCTGCCCCAGGCTGTGCTGACAGGACCCCTCTGTCCCTCAGAGCCTGTGAGCCCCCGGTTGCAGCCCCGCTATAAGGGTGCCTACTTTTCGGGGCTCCCCACGGATGAATGCCAGGACCCTGCCGCCCCCAGCCTGTGAGTATGTGGGAGGGGGGTGTGTCCCCAGGGCCCCCCAGCCCCGCAGCACTGCCAACCCCCTGCCTTCCTCCGGCCAGGCTGGTCCCTGCCGTCCCAGCGCCTGGCAGGGATGGTCCCCGGAAGACCCGCAGCATGCCGGAGCGCACCCTCGTCCTGGAGCTGGTGAGCTTTGGGGGGGGGGGCCCTCGGGGGGGGGCTGCGGGCCCGGGGCTGGGGTCTGACTCTGCTCCCGCCCTGCAGGAGGGGACCCTGGTCTGCTCCTCTGTGCTCGCCAGCTGGCGACGGGGCACTGCGGCCACCTTCACCACAGACTTCCAGGGAGATGCCTACGAGGTGGGTGCCTGCATGCCAGCGTTGGGACAGGGGGGGCCCCAGGATTGGGGGGGGGTGGGGGAGTGGAGGGCTGTGACTTGGGGCCGTGGGGTAGCAATGAAGAGCCACATCATCCGTGTGGCCTCTGTGGGCACATACTCTCCTTGTAGCTGAAGGGGAAGGGGGCCCAGGGGCTGAAATCCCAGGGGAGAAGGTGGCTGAGGGGGCCCTGGGATCCTGCTCAGGGTGCTGATCCCCATCTTGGGGGGCACCTTGGTGTCAGGACATGGGTGCTGTTGTTTTTTGGGGGCTGCCTGGAGATGCCGTTGCCTTCCAGGTCCACGTGAAGCTGCGTCCCCACGTGCAGCAGTTCCTGGAGAGCCTTGCCAAGACCTATGAGGTACCCAGAGCCACCCCACACACACACCCACACATTCCCGTGGGGTCCCACTGTGTCGAGGTGGGGGGGGTCACAGGGGCAGCCTGTGCAGGGACCTTTCCCTTCTCCCCCAGATCTTCATCTTCACAACTGCGAAGCAGGACTATGCTGAGAAGGTCCTGGATGTGCTGGACCCCAAGAAGAAGCTGATCAGGTGATGGCCGCGGTGAGACCCCGCCGGGGAGCTCCTGCTTGGCAGGGACTGGTCCCCACGGGTCTGCATCCCCCCCCCAGGCACTGCCTCTCCCAGCGGGACTGTCTCTGCGCCCAGGGCTGCTACTGGAAGGACCTGACCTGCCTGGGCAGGGACCTGGCCAAGACGGTGGCCCTGGACCACACCATCCAGGGCTTCCCCACGCAGGTACTGGCAGCACTGGCCCTCACGGAGCAAGGTGGGGGGGTTTGTGCTCCAGCCCCCCAGGGAGCCTTGAGGCCACAGCAGCTCCTTCAAGGCCAGTGTTTGCCCTCTCTCCCCAGGCTGCCAACTGGATCCCAGTGCCGAGGTGGTGGGGGGACCAGCAGGATGAGGAACTGCTGCGCCTCGCCCCACTGCTGGGGCAGCTCGGCCGGGCGGTGAGGACTGGGGAGGGAATGGGGGTCCTGGGTTTCTGGGGCAGGGGGGTGTGAGTTGCCCTGCACTCCCCCCCCGCCCCCCAATTGCTGTTTCTCCCCATGCAGGATGATGTGCGGACCGAGATCCAGCGACGGTTCTCGCACCGTGAGCTGCCCGCTGAGCACTAGGCCAGCCCGGGTGGTGGAGAGCGGAGTGAGATGGAGGAAGAGAGAAAAAAAAACAAAACAAAACAAAACAAAAAAAAAAAAAACAAAAAAAAACAAAACAAACAAACAAAAAAAACAAAACAAAACAAACAAACAAAAAAAACAAAACAAAAACAAACAAACAAAAAAAACCAAACAACAAAACAATAACAACAAAAAAACCCAAACAAACAGAAAAAATACAAAAAAAAAATCCAAAACCAAACCAAACAAACAAAAAAAAACAAAAAACAAAACCTCAGAGAGCTGCATCCCAGTGCGCCCAGTCCCAAACTCGCCCTGCGGTGCTGGGCTGGCTGGTGTTTTGGCAAAGCCCTTGCCTCTTCGTGTTTTGGAGCCGTATTCCGCTTGCCTGTCCCAGCACGCTGCGAGGCGTGTGGATCCCAGCCTGTCCCTCGTGGCTGGGGGGGTTCTACCGGGGAGACACCACCACCACCACCACCCCCCCCCGCTTGTTCTCAGCTGCTTTTTGAGGCAAAGCTCTGTCCTGGCTCCCTCCTGTCTGTGCTCTGCAAGATCCGGCCAATGTTTTTTTCCATGGGTGATTATACACTTGGACAAAGCTCTCTCTTCTCTTACTCTTCAGCTGCGCAAACACGCCACGCTCGGGGACGGCGCAGCCGGCGGGGGCACAAACTGTGTGTGTGTGTGCCCCCCCTCCCCGTACCATGGCCGTGTCCCCCGGCAGCTCCGGTGGTTGGGAGCCTGGGCCCGGCGAGGTGCCGATGCCCCTGGGAGGGCCCCAGTTGGCAGCTCTCCCCATGCTGGGACGCAGCTGCAGCCGTGCCGCTGCCAGCCCTGATGGGACAGCGAGGGCTGGGGGCATTTTGGGGGGGCGGGGAGCAGGGTGGCTGTGGGGTGCAGCAACCCTGGGACCTGTTTTCTTTTTTTTGTTTTTTAAATGACTAGAGGCTGCCGGTAAACAAGAACCAGGGACTGAAGCCACACCGCAGCAGTGTGGGTCCGGCTGCCTCCGCTCTGCCCAAAGCCTTGTGGGGAGCTGGCTGTGGTCACTCACGGGCAGCCCTTTGGAGGGAAGTCACATCTCTTCCTCCTCCTCCTCTTCCTCACAGCCTCCATGCCTGGAAAAGGACACAGGGCTCCCAACTCTGCTGGAAATAGCTGCAGTGCAGCAGCGTGCCAGGCCGGGGCCCCCAGGGGGTTGTGAGGGGATGAGCCAGGCGGGGAGGGAAGCCATGACCCACGGCTCTGCTGAGGCACAGAGAGGGACACGGCAAGGGATCAGCCCAGGCACAGCTGGGAAGGGAAGTCACCCTTCTGAGAGGGTGGTCCAGAAAGGCAACAACCAGTTTATTTTGGAAACCAGGCGAGGGCAGCTCTGTCCCAGGCTGGGATCCAGCAGCCCAGGCTGGTGTCAGAGTGTCCTTCCAGCCCGGGGACAGCAGGAGCTACAGTTCGCGACGCAAAAAACCGCCCGGTATGTGACACAGAGGGTGGCTGAGAGGATCAAGCTCCCGCAGATGAGGACAGGGAGAAGGTTGCTCTGCAGCTCCTCCTCGGTGGGGACGGCCTGTGGAGGGGAGCAGGAGTGGGTGAGCTCGCTGAAGGTGCTGGCAGGGGGACAGCCCGTGCAGTTGTTGGCCGAAGCGCCCTGGCACGTGTAGCAGGAGGGGTGGCAGCGGGCGCAGACGCGGGTGGCGTCGGTGGCAGCTCTCTGGGTATGGGCGTAGTAGCGGGGAGGGCAGTAGGACAGGCAGGAGCGCTGGTGGACGTACAAAGAGCTGCCACAGTCTGCGGAGGGAAGGTGGCGTGAGCCAGGCTGCGGGGCCACCCGGGGCCGAGAGCATCGTCCCCTCCTGCCCAGACACTCACCCTCACACGCTCCCTGCGCGTCCCGCCGGCGGCACTCATCTGTGGCAGCAGCTGTGAAGCGCCTGGCCGTCATGTCCTCGTCTGTGCCGTGGAGGTGCAGGATGAAGCTGGTCAGCAGACCTGAGGGCACGAGGGACAGGGCTCGGTGCTGACCGCAGCCGCGTTCCCACCCTGCGGTGTTTGGGGTCTGCAAGCTGGTGGGTGTGGGGCTGGAAGGTTTGGGGATACGTGGTGGAGAGCAAGCCGTGCCCCCTTCCTGGCCAGAGAGACCCTCAAAACAGCTGACCATGGCCCTGCGGAAAAAGAGGTCTTGCCTGCCCAGGAGGAGCAGGAAGACAAGTGAAAGAGTTGCTAATCGAAGTGGGGGAAGGAAGAAGAAAGAATGATGGGGCACTGGGTGACCCCCATGACTGGGGTTCACTCCCCCAGGGCCCTGGGCACCCACCGGTGTTATAGGCATCGCCCTTGTTCTCTAGCTGGAGTGTCCAGGTCCCGTTGGGGTTCTCATCCCAGAAGTGTGTGGACATGAAGGTCCAGTCCTTGTAGCCTTCCTGGCTGGTGTCATACGGGCTGGAGGGGAGGAGAGCCAGGAGTGAGAGCCTGAGGGATGAGGCGCTGGGGTCACCCCATTCTTGGTATAAGGGGGAAGTGCCAAGGTGTGGCAAGGGGCTGCAGCGGAGTTTGGGGTGAGCCCAGACGCCATGGGGGCCACAAGCAGCCAATTCCATGGAGGGGAGAGTGTCCTGGCCCCAGAAGAGGCTGCAAGAGGAGCTGCCCCCCCAGCAGCCTCACTGAGCACCCTTACCGCACGGTGACCAGCGTGGATGTGGTCCCCATCGGGCTGGTCAGAGTGATCACCAGGTCCCCCCTGCGGCTGTAGCTCAGAGAGAGCTGGACCTGGACGTGCTCCAGCGAGCGGATGCGGCTCCCAGAGCAGGAGGAAGCGTCTGCAGAGACAGTGAGCTTGGAGCCGATGTTCCTACCAAATACAAGATGGAGATAAGGACATCTCTTCCCCCTCCCAGGGGTATCCTGCTCTCCATCCACCACCTCGAAGCACAGCCCTGGGGTTACAGCGCAGAGAGCTTCTGGAAAAGCAATGTCTGGTCCCTGCGTGGGACCAGACACAGGGGATATCATCCCTTACTGGGGGGTGTGAAGAGCCTTGACTGAACACCGTCGCTGAGGCCGCGTTCCACTCCACGCCTTGGCCATCTCCACCAGCAGACCAGCATCCAGGAGCCCATAGCCATAGTGGTGGCTCACTGCAAAGCAGATACGACCCGAGAGAGGACCCGTGAGCCCCTCTGCACCAAAAGAGCACCTGTAGTTCCTGCCCCAGAGCTGCTGGCGGGAGTTTGGGGGGCAGCACGTCCCCCCGCAGCCAGGGCAGGAGGCGGGAGCGGGCAGGACAGGCAGCAGAGCCTGAACTCACCCCTGCGTCCGACCCCGTTCACGGTCCAGTCCTCTGCCTGCAGGTGAGCGGGCTTGGAGGTCCTGATGACGAGGTGCTGCAGGTCACGCCAGGTCAGTGCTGGGCTGGAACCAAGCAGGACTTGGGGACAGAGGTCTCTGCTCTGGGTTAGCTTTTGAGGGGGAGATTTGACTCTTCTAACTTCTGATGGGGGTAAGTTAGCTATCTGGGTCCAAGCTGATCCCCCTCCCACAACCTTTTTCACTGCCGAAATGGGAGCACCAGCCTCCTCCAGAGGAGAACTCTCCTTCTGCCTCAGGCTTCTCTCCCAGTGTCCTAGGAGATGATGCTGCCCCACCAGAGCCCAGGGAGACCTTGGCTCCGCACCCCAAACCTCCTCAGCAGCACAGTCTCCCTTCCTTGTCCCCGCAGGGTCCTGATGAGGCACCAGGCTCTCCCTGGGGACTGTCCTGCTGCCACAAAGTCACCTACTTGGCCTCCAGCGCGAGGGCGACCATTCCCGCGGCCAGTGGGGCTGAGGCGGACGTGCCGGTGTGCTTGTCGGTACAGCGGTGGTGCAGGTCCGTGGTCACCTGGGGGGGGGACAAGGCGGGGGGTCTCAGCACCATTGCTGCTGCTAGAGCAGAGGGTGGGACTGGTTGCTGTCAGGTAACTTCAGGAAATGCTCCCTCCATGTCCCTTTGTGCTTTTTTTTGGGGTCTAGCACAGACATTTTAATAAAGCCCCCTCTCCCCCCCCCCTCCCAGGTAAGGAGGGCTGGGCTGAGCCCGCTTTGTGCTGGGAAGCGGTGTCTGCCCGAGGGTCGCTGCTCCAGCAGAGCCGGCACGGCACTCACGATCTGCACCTCGCTGCTGGTCCTGCTGCTGTAGGTGGTGGTGAGGATGGCGGAGCAGCCCTCGCCGTACCAGGGCCTCTGCCCGCCCGCCAGCACGCTGCCCACTGACAGGGTGTAGATGCTGTTGGTGTACCCGTCGCAGTTGCAGTTGTCGTAGTTGATCCCGCCGTTGCCGGAGGCCCAGATGAAGATGGAGCCGAGGCCCCCCCGGCCCTGGCAGGGGGGAGGCAGAGTGGGGTGAGCCAGGACTCCCTATGCCACCACTGTCCCCGAGGCCAGCACCAAGCTTACTTTAGTGGCCCCTCTGTAGAAGGCCTCTGTGGCCAGCACGCCCGGCCTGTCCACGGTCTTGCCGTCGTCCTCGGGGCCCCAGCTGGCGCTGTAGACGTGGATGTGCTGGGGCCGCAGGCTGAGGGCCTGAGCCTCCACCACGTCTGTGATGGGACCGTCCAGCATCCGCACGCCTGCAGGGGCAGCACGAGGAGCAGCCGTGGGCGAGGGGCAGCAGCAGGCTGGAGGCCACAACAGCTCCGGGTGAACAGAGGAGGCAGCCCGAAGGAGAGCTCCTCCTTCCCAAAGCTTCCCGTTAAGCCCTTTGCAATTAAACCCCAGGAGTTCTCCCAGTTTTTAACCCCGCTTGCCACACTCGCTTCCAGAGGGGAGCTGGAGCCCGGCGTTGCGGTGGGTGTTAAACCCCTGGGGAGCACCGAGCCCTGGTCTGTGTCTGGATGTGCGGTGACACCGCAGCACCCTCTAATCCCCTCCGAGCCCCCTTGCCTGGGGCCACTCCAAGGTGCCAGAGCTGGTTTGCAACTTTTAGCACACTGGAGCAATGGCTCACCTCCAACTTTGGCGTTGTACGCAACGCCTGCTCCGCAGATTTGGTTGTTGGCTGCAGCTGCCACTTCTCCTGCACAGCGTGTCCCGTGCCTGAGGGACAGCGTGAGCCCCTGAGCCGTCCTCCAGGACAGCCTCTGCCCCCGGGGAGATAAAGCACCCAGGGTGCTGGGCAAAACTCACCGGTTCTCATCCCCGGCGGCGTACCTGGGCTGGGGGTCGGGGTCGTTGCTGTTGAAATCGTAACTTGCCAGGGGGTCCTATTGCAAAAAGAGGCACCAGCATAAGCAAACTGCCTTTTGGCGGGGGTTGTGACAGCTTGCAGGCTCCTGGCCCTTTGCCCGGTGTCTGGTAGCGCGCATCGGCCAGCCTGCCCGGCCCAGAGAGGGCGGGGGGGTGCCCCTTCGCACTCAGCACCTGCCCCAGGTTAACCTGGAGTTGTTGGAAACTGGGTTTTGCTAAAGGAGCGCAACTTTGCCCATTGCTGTCCTGCTCACGTTCAGGGATAAAAGCCAGCAGGGCGAGTCATGCGAGGGTGAGCCTCACCAGCTGTGCAGTTAGGAGAGAGGAACTACCAACTACCAAACAATGTTATAAACAACTCATATTCACCCATCCTTTCCTCTGGGCTCTCAGAGCACTTGAGGATTTACCAGCTTTACTGGCTTTGCAGCTTGTTGTAATTACATCTATTTTGGGGGCTTGAGCGTGTACAAGTCCTAACGTTTCCTTGCTGTGAGAATTCACTGTGGGAGACACCAAACCTTTTGATCCAGCCACGGAGAGGCTGAGTTCCCACTGTAAAGTCCCACAGGTGGGCTGAAGGCACCAGCTCCCACCCTCCCCTGGAGACAACATGCCCCGAAGGAGCCAGTTCCTGCAGCCCAGGCTGCTCAGCCCAGCGTAGTTACATAGTTGGCAGACAGGTCCGGATGGTCCTTCTCAATCCCATCGTCCAGGATGGTCAGCACAACCCCCAGCCCGCTGTATCCTTTGCTCCAGGCAGTGAGGATGTTTAGATCAGGATTGATGTCATTGTTCTGGAAAAAGGATTAAATTCGATCAGCTCCTGGGCAGCAGGCTGCGGGTGACCTTCAAGGACCCTTCTGCTGCCTCATCACTGTCGGCATTAGTCCTGTTTACGCGTCGGGGAGGTGAGTCGCTTGCGGATTAGAAGAGCGAGCGGCAAAATCTCACCATGTACCACTGCTTATGGAACCAGGGATCTGTCGGCACCACGCTGAGGCTTCTCTTTGTGCGCCTCTTTACGGTTTGCTGCTCAAACCAGAGGACCTGGGTGGGAAGCAGCGTTGGTGGCAGCGGCAGAGCCGGCCCAGCACGGCATGCGGTAGCCTCTGTCCCCGCAACTGCCTCCTCCCTACCTTCGGCTCTTTTGCCAGGCGCATATTCCAGCCCCAGTGTCTGCTTAAGGCTTTCTGCCTGGTGCCTCGGTGTTTGAAGTGATAATAAGGCTCTCCCTCCATCACCTGCAGGCGCAAAGAGCTGTTGTAAGAGATGGTTTCTAGACAAGCAGCCGGGCTGGGGACACCTGGGCTGGCTCTGCGTGGGCCGCAGAGCTCAGAACAACATGTTTAGTGGGAGTTGTCGGTGGCAGGACAAGCAGAGCGTCACTTGGTGCCAGGGCAGGCTCCCGGGGATGGTTGGTGTGTGCCCTTGGGGCTTCCTCGCTCCCCCATGCACACGCAGAGACCTGCCTTAACCCACCGTCCCCACTGTGGGACACGGGGTGGGGGGCGAGCGAAGCGGGGGGAGGGGGCGGGGGGTGGGAGGGGGGGTGCAAGGCTGGCCCTGGCCGCACCTGGCCCAGGCAGAGCAGGCCGTGCCGCCGGGCCAGGCCCCGGGCGCCCCGCGGCCCCGCCGCCACCCGCACGGCCCAGCTGCTCAGGTAGATGCGGGGCTCGGCGGCGGCGGCGGCGATCACCAGCACCAGAAGCCCCGGGAGAGACCCGGGGAGGGACCCCGGGAGAGACCCGGGGAGAGACCCCGGGAACGGCGCCGGGAGCGTCCCGGGCCGCGCCGCCATCCAGGCCGCGGGCGTTGCCATGGCTACGGCGTCGCCCCGCCCTCTCAGACAGAGACCCCGCCCTCAAACCAAGGTACCGCCTTCAAATGGACGCCACGCCCCCTCATGGCCCCGCCCGCCCCCCCCGCATTGGCCCGGGGCGGCGGGAGCCGGGGGGGCGGGGGGGGCACCGGCACCGGCACCGGCACCGGGAGCGGGAGCGGGAGCGGGAGCGGAGCGGGGCGGGGGCCGCAGCCATGGGCACGGTGCCGCAGCGCCTGCAGCGCTTCCTCGATCGCCCCGGGCCGCTCGGTGACCTGCTGGGTCGTCTGGAAGCCCGCACCGGCGTCCGGCGCCTCTACCTGGCCACAGGTGCGACCGGGACCCCCCCCTGCCCCCCTCCCTCCCCGGGGCTATGCTGCCCGCTCCCTTCCCGTTTGGGGTCCCTCCTCTTTCCTGGGGCACCCTGGCAGCCCCTCACCGTGCCACTGGGCTCTGCGGGGGGGCATGGGCAGGGCCCCCCGTTTGGGGTCTGCTGGGAGGCTGCTTTGGGAAGGGGCACCGTAGGGTGGCCGTGCCACCCATCACCTTCATCAGCCTTCATCCCGCACCCCAACCCAACGGAGGTGCACCCCGAAACCCACGGGGCCTGTGTGTCAGAGGTGTCGGCCAGACCCTCGAGACCCCTGACGCTGATGAAGGGGGTGGTCCCCACTCCCTGCTGGGTGATCCCCCCAAATCGCGGTGGGTCAGAGCGGGTGTTGGGGACAGGAGCGCCCGTCTCTGTGTCCTGCTCGGCGGGCGGGACTCGCCTCCCTCCCAGGTGGAAGAGCGGAGGTCCGGCTGTTAACGGATCCTGTTGCTCATTAACAAGAAACCTGCCACCATCTCCCTGGGGAGCGTTGTCCTGGCACGACGTGACCCCTCTCCTCCGCCCTCGCTGCTGCTCCGACCCTCAGCCCCGCGCTGCCAACTTCCAACTTGCTCATCCAAATTCTCCAATTCAATATTTTATATAAAACCTCCCGGGGGGGGGGGGCTCGGGGGGGCTCGGGGTTTCCTGGTTGCCTGCGTCCCACCTTTCCCTTCTGGTGCCATTTCCTGGCCCTTTACCTGCTGCAGGGCTCGTTTTCCTGCTCCGAGGGGAAAAGGGTCCGTGAAGGGGCACATGCTGCTGAGAGCGGGTTATGTTTGGATGTGGTGCATCATGGTCAGGCACCTTCTGAGCAAAATGATCCCGGGGCTTTGGTTGTGCTTGGGTGTGATGGACTTTTGGGGGTAGGGGAAGAGCAGAGGCACCGCTTCTACCCAAGACCGATGGTCCCACACTCTTGGTTCCTGTCCTGGAAATGAGAAGCTGCTGCTGAACTTAAAATACCCTATTTCTCCCTCCCCTGGCTCTGGAGTGATTTCTAATTTGTGTTTGGACCCACGCGGGGCGGTTCTGCGTCTCTGGAGCTGGTAGCGACCCACGGGCTGCAGTTTGGAGCCCATCTTGCCCAGCCTCAGGGCAGCACAGCCAGATCAGCCGTGCGGTGGCTTCGGTTGGGTAAAAATCATCCCGGGAGGAGGTTGGTGTCCCCTTCCCAAGGCACGGGGCCGGCCGGGCTGGCTGTCACACCGGCTGCTTGCCCTCCCTGCCGGGACAGGCACCGCAGATTGGCTCCAGCTGCCCCTCTCAGCAGCCCTTCTTTGTAAGTGAGGCCTTTCACTTACATTTTTTGCTGTTACATAAATTTCTCTGGGGGCATAGCCCGTGAAATCCCTTCTAAGGCTTTTGGGGGAATGAAGCCCAGTGCTGCCTGAACCTGCCTGCTAGTTTTCCTTGAAGGGAGGTTTGTGATCTCTCCAAAGCTGCATTGCTCCTGCCTGTCTCCTTGGGAAAGGCCCGAAGCCCCGTTTGTGCCTGGAGCCGGCGGCTACCCCGTGCCAGGGGCCAGAGCAGGGCACAGAAACGCTGTGGTGAGCAGAGCGGGGATAATCCATCCTTCGAGCCCGAGCAAAGGCTTTCCTCTAATTCACCAGCGCAAACAGGTTAAGTCCCGGCTTCTCCTGCCCGCTGCAGGACGAGGCGCTTACATTAACAGAGGAGTTTGTACGCTGGGACAGTAAATGCCCTTGACTCGGGCTCTGCATGTCCCTGGGCTGCCTCCTTGCCCTCTGCCCCTTCGGGGTCTGTGTTTTGACTGCCTCAGGCAGGTTGGGAGGGAGCTGCTGGGTGCTGGCATCTCCGGGCTGACACGAGCAAGGGCTCTTCGCTGCGGCCGTGGTTTTGGCAGCAGGAGCTCCTTGCCTCGGCTTTCCCCATCCGGCTCTCCCAGCTCCTCTGATCCTGCCTTCTGCAAGTGTCTGAGGGCTGGTCAGGCTCCGAACGACCAAAGCCTTGGCTTACATTTAATTTTAATTATTTAATTTAATAACAGGGAAGCGGGATTGGATTGCCAGTTCTCGGGGGGCTGAATCCTTAGCGAACAGGGGCAGCAGCTCCGCACAAGCCCGTGCAGATGTGTACGGGGAGCAGAAAGGAGACACAGGCTCCAGCAGCGAGGCTGCTCCTGGGCAGTTGCCTCCGGGAGCAAGGCTTGTCCTTGAACAGTCGTTATCAAAGCAGCTCCGCACCCTGCACGCAGAGGAGCAGCTCAGTGCCTTGACTTTGGACTGTAGGGGTGTGTTAAAGTCTCCACTTCTGACGTCCCTGCAGCCTTGGCCCGGGTCCAGGCTGACGATGGTTCGGAAGCGCTGTGTGTTTGTGGTAAAGTCCCTTTCCAGGCCGGGGAGGGGACAAATGGTGACAGACAAACGGATGAGCAAGCACCTGCACTCCACGACAGACTCTGCCACATGCTGTGCTCCGTGCGGCTGTGCAGGCAGCGCGTCGAGCACCTCAGTGGTCTGGTGTGTGGAGGGTCACGCTGGAATTCATTGAGGGTGGTTGTTAGTCCCAACTGGAGTGTCCCAGCATGTGCCTCTTCTCACTACTGGGATGAGGAACCTGCTCAGCAGACTGAGCCAGGGTCTCTCCTCGCCATCGCGGTGTTGGCAGGTTTGTGACTGTCCTTTCTGTCCCCACCGGCAGGTTCCGTGGCATTCCTGGGGCTATACCTCGTGTTCGGCTACGGCGCCTCGCTGCTCTGCAACCTCATCGGCTTCGCTTACCCCGCTTACGTCTCGTAAGTACTGGTGTCCCAGCCCAGCCTCCCAGCAGCATCTGGGGAGTGTTCCCTGCACTTAGCTGAGGGAACCCCCAGTTATGGTTGGGAAGCTCTCGAGACCTTCCTGAAAAGGCTGGGACCTGGCACGGTCCCAGCTCGGGGCTGCAGCCCCTCGTAGGCAGGTTTGCTCCAGGGTTTGGAGGGCTTGGGAAGGAGGTGCCTGCCCTGGCAGCAGGACTGCGGCGGCAGAGCCCCTTCCCCTCTCCTGCCGCAGCATCAAAGCCATCGAGAGCTCCAGCAAGGAGGATGACACCACGTGGCTGACGTACTGGGTGGTGTATGGCGTCTTCAGCATAGCCGAGTTCTTCTCCGACATCTTCCTCTACTGGTTCCCCTTCTACTACGCTGGGAAGGTAACAGCTTTGCTGGGGCTGCTCTGAACGGGGCTGAACTTGCAGGAGCCAAGTGTGGTGGGCTCTGCCCCGTTGGCAGGACGGTGCCGGTGGTGGGGCCAGCTCCCAGCGCCGAGTTCCTGGTCCCTCCAGCCTCGGGAAGCTGCCTTGGGCCAGGCTGGGGGGCTCAGCTGCTGCCCTGTCGCTGCCTCCCTTTTTGGGGCTGCCTCACTGAGCCCCGGCCCTGCCCAGCCAGCTCCCAGCTCTGGCATGTCTCTCCTCCCTGCAGTGCCTGTTCCTGCTGTGGTGCATGGCCCCCGTGTCCTGGAACGGGTCGCAGGTGCTCTACCAGAAGGTCATCCGACCCTGCTTCCTCCGGCACCACGAGACCGTGGACAGTGTGCTGGGCAACCTCAGCACCAAAGCCCTGGACGCAGCTTCCAGCATCACCCGAGAAGGTAACGGGGGATCCCCTGGTCCCCACCATCCTGCTCCGTGCCTGGGGCGGGTGGTTTTCCCCTCCGCTGGGACGTGGGCAGCTCTTGTTTTAATCCCCAGGCCAGCCTCCCCGTGACTGCGCTCCGTGCCCTTGCAGCTCCGTCCCGCTGCGGTGGCAGGAGCTGAGCCAGGGAGGGGTGGTGATGGTGCTGGTGGTGATGGTGCTAGTGGTGCTGGTGGTGGTGGGGTTCGCTCTCCCCTCGCTGTAATTCTCTCTCTTCTCTTTGCCCCTCGCGGTCCAGTCCTGCAGACCCTGATCAGCAGCAGAGCCCGGCTGGCGGCCGAGGTGGCACCGCAGCTCAGCTTGTCCGTATGTAACGAGCCGCGGCTCCCGCTGCCGCCGAGGGGAGCAGGAGCCGTTCTGCGTGGGTCACCCCGCCGCTGTCACGGCTGCGGCCGCCTTGGTGCCGTCCAAACCCAGCCCCGTGCTCTCGCTGCCGGTGTGGCTCACGCACGACGGCCCCATCCTCCCTCGGCGTGGGTAGAGCAGGCGCTTTCCCTCCCGCTTCTCCGTAGCCAGATCCCCCGCGCATCCTCCCTCGGCCTCCGCTGTGTCCGTCTGTTCCTCGGTGCCAACTCGGGGGTCCCATTTGAGGTGTCCCCCTGGCCCGAGCTGCCCGCAGCCTCGGGGAGAGGGAGGGAAGGGGGATGATGATGGTCCTCGGGACAGAACCCGATGCCATCCTCATGTCTCCCGCAGCCTCCGGCGCAGCCCTGAACCTGCCGCAGCGAGGGATGAAGAGCAAGTGAGAGGGACCCCGGGGCGCTCCCGGTACCACCACTGCGAACCCGGGGCTGGGCCCCAGGACCCCCCAAACCCGGGCCCCGACCCGGGCCCCACCGCTGCTGCTGCCCCCCCCAATAAACCCCCGGGGGTCCCCGGTGCTTCGCGAACCGCCTCTCCCCTGTGCTCTCTGCGGGCGGCGGCGCCGTCACACCGCGCGGCTCCTTTAAGAGCGGGGGCGGGCGGCGCCTTTACGGGGGGGCGGGGCCCCCAAGGAAGGGGCGGGAGGAGTGACGTAACTCCGGGGGCGTGCCGGAAGTGGCGGGGCGGGGCGTTGGCGTGGCGGGGTCGGTCGGTCTGTCGGTCCTGGGGGAACGGAGGGGGCTGGTCGGTCTGTCGGTCCTGGGGGGAAGGGAGGGGGCTGGTGTGTCTGTCCGTCCGTCCGGGTGTATGTGGGGGTGTCTGTCTGTCTGTCTGTCTGTCTGTCTATCTATCTATCTACCTACTTATCTATCTATCCCGAGGGGGGGGGGCGTCTGTCTGTCCCGGGGGGAGGGAGGCTCTGTCCGTCTGTCTGTCCGAGGGTGGGGCGAGGAGGGGAGCCTGTCCATCCTGGGGCAGCGAGGGGGGTCTGTCCGTCTGTCTGTCTGAATAGGCAGTGGGAGGGTCCTGGGGCAGCGAGGGGGGGTGTCTGTCTGTCTGTCTGGGGCGGAGGTGGGGAAGTCGGTTTGTCCTGGGGCAGCGAGAGGGGTCTGTCCGTCTGTCTGGGGGTGACGGGGAGGGGGGAGGCCTGTGTGTCCATCCAGAGGGCAGCGCGGGGTCTGTGTGTCAGTCTGTCTGTCTGGGGGTGACGGGGAGGGGGGAGGCCTGTGTGTCCATCCAGAGGGCAGCGCGGGGTCTGTGTGTCAGTCTGTCTGTCTGGGGGTGACGGGGAGGGGGGAGGCCTGTGTGTCCATCCAGAAGGCAGCGCGGGGTCTGTGTGTCAGTCTGTCTGTCTGCCTGGTGGGTGGGGTGGGGGCAGCCCTCACCCCGCGCCACCCCCCCCCCAGCGCCTGAGGCCGCCCCGTGATGAGCTCCAAGGCCAAGCGGGTGCTGCCCACCCGCCCCGACCCCCCCAGCGCCCAGCAGATCCTGGCCGACGTTCGAGGCTCCCCCCCGGGCGACCCCGTCTGCCAGCCCCCCCCCGCTCCCCGCCGGGACCGCGGCCCCGGTGAGTCCCCAGGGTCGGGGTGAGGGGGGAGCAGCAGAACCCCCCCAAAACCTTCTGATCCCCCCGCTCCCCGCTCAGGCTCCCCCGGCACGGAGCAGCGGGAGCGGCTGTACCGGCAGAGCCGATCCTACGTGGAGATGAACCAGCGGCTGCAGGAATCCCGGGAGCGGCTGCGGGAGCGGCGCGAGGAGCTGCGGCGGGCGGGAGCGACGCTGGAGCGCGGCATCGCGGAAATGAGGGAGAAAGCTTGCTGAGCCCGTGCTCGGCACCCCCGGTGCTCTCCGCCGGCACCCCAGGACTGCGGCGGGTGCCTCGGGACGCCCGTTCCCCCCCCCCCACCCCGCATCGAGGGGTAGAAGAACCGATCGCGTTTGATTTACGGGAGGATCTCGCCGGGGCTGCGCCGGCTTCGGCAGCCGGAGCTTTCCCCGGGGAGCGGTGGGAGGAAAGACTCAGCCCCCTGCCTTTCATCCATGAGCTTGATGCCCTCGTCCCCGGCCGGCGGGACGTCTGCGGCCCCGCGCCGCCGCTTCACCTATGACTTTTCCATCTGGTATTGCCCCGAGGACGACCACATCGCCTCCCGCATCTCGGAATGCTTGAAGAAAGAGGGTTTTCGGGGCTACGCAGAGCACCAGGACCAGGTGGCCGGGACATCCGTCGTCCTGACCGCCATCGAGGTCATCGAGGCCAGCCGGGTGGCCATCCTCCTCCTCTCCGCCAAATCCCTGGGTGACCCGTGGTGCCAGCGTGTTTCCCAGTGGAACCTCTATCACATCATCCACTGCCACGGGACCAAGATGATCCCCGTGTACGTGGGGGTGAAGAAGGCCGAGGTGCCTCCCTTCCTGCAGCACCTCATCGAGCTCGAGTACCAGACCGAGTTCTTCTTCGACCGGCTCGTGGACAGCCTGAGATCATCCCGCAAAGCCCGGCCTGCGCCGTCCTCCAAAGCAAAGAGCTGAGGGGCTGGGGATGGTTTTTTAGCCTGTTTGGTGGCCGATGGCCCTGCAGCCAAGGCGGTGGGAGCGGAGTTGTCCTCTGCTGCTGATAAAGGTGGTGGGAACGGGTCACGCCAGCACTGCGGGATGTCACAGATCTTAATAAAACCCCTTCTCGGAGAACTGAAGATGCGACTTTCTGTCCACACGCCCCCGCGTCGCTCGCTGACCTGGGTGGGGGATGAAGTCAAAGTAAAACCCCAGCGTGGCTGGGGGTGGTTTTCCACCCCTGCAGGCGTTACCCTGTGGGTGTGCCTCTTCCCTTTCCTGCCCTCCCCGCCTCAAAGTGGGGGTCCGTACCCTGCTGCTGCCCTGCGCTGCTTTTCGCACGTGGCGGGGACACGGAGACACGGGATGGTGGCGAGGGGCAGCCGGGGGCTGCTGCTGCTGCTGACCCTCCCTTTGGGTGAGGAGGTGGGATGGGGGGGTCAGGGGGTCGGGGGCTGGCCACAGGGTGGGTGGCAACTGGCTGGCAGGGACAGGGGGCCTGGGGGGGTCCCTTTCGGTGGGGTGGCAGGATCAGGATGGGATCTCCTCTCGCTGGCAGCGTGGGGCTGGCTCCAGCTGTCGGTCATCGGGGGACACGAGGCCAAACCCCACTCCAGGCCCTACATGGTGTCCGTCCAGTCCCGGGGGGTTCACACCTGCGGGGGAGCGTTGCTGCACCGGCGCTGGGTGCTGACGGCCGCCCACTGCTTCCCCCCGGGGTGAGTCCACGGCGGTTGCACCCTGGGGGTCGCGGCTGGGGGGTCTGGGTGGTCAGCACTGGGCTCCCAGTGACGCCGGTTCCCACTACGGGGCAGGGCGAAGGCTGCCAGGACGGTGGTGGTGGGGCTGCACAGCTTGCAGGAGCGTGGGGCGGCCACGCAAACCTTCCCCATCCGCATGGCCTGTCCCCACCCTGGCTACGACCGCCGGACGATGGCAAACGACCTTCTCCTGCTCCAGGTGGGGCTTGTGCCGGCCACGGTGAAGGGTTTGCCGCGGGGCTGGGGGCGCGGGGCCACCGGCAGTGCCAGGAAGCGCTGCCGGGGAAGGGGCTGAGCAGGTTCACACCCAGGGGCTGGGTGATATTTCCTCTTCTCACCTCTGAGATGTCACAGCTCGGTGACATCTCCCCGCTCCCATGGGTGCTGTGCCAGCTCGAGGCTCCCCTTCGGGCACCCGCCCACCACACCGGGGTGGGGGAGCGGTCCCTGCCAGCCCCCCCGGGGTCTGACGCTGCCCGCTGCCCTGCCCACAGCTGGAGGGGAAGGTGACGCTGAGCAGGACGCGGCGGCTCATCCGGGTGCTGAGGCGGGAGCCGGTGGCTGGGGTGACCTGCAGCCTGGCGGGCTGGGGGGTCCGCGCCCGTGGGGGGCTCTCGCCCACACTGCAGGAGCTGGAGGTCACGGTGCTGGACGCGCGGATGTGCAACAACAGCCGCTTCTGGAACGGGGACATCAGCCCCACCATGATCTGCTTCCAGGGGCGCCACAGGGGCTCAGCACCCTCCAAGGTGAGGAGCTGGCGGGGGGGACAAAGGGCTTTGCGAGGGGACTGACTGGTTGCAAAGCTCTGTCCCCCACACCAAGCCACCACTCGCGGGTGTGGGGGACCCCGGGGAGGATGCTCACCCCGAGCTGAGTGGCGAGATGCCCCCCAAGGCATGGAGGGGTCCCTGGGCCCTGCTTGGGGTCCAGTCCCCACTGTCACCCCCACGCAGGGTGACTCCGGGGGTCCCTTGGTGTGTGGGAAGCGGGCGGCGGTGGCCGGGGTGCTGTCCTTCACCAGCTCGGACCTCACCGACCCCTTCAAGCCACCGGTCGCCACCTCGGCCGTGAAGCACAAGAAATGGATCCAGAAAACGCTGCGGAGGGGCTGCAGCCCCCCCTAGCCCAGGCGCGCCAGAGAGACAGACCACCCCTTCTTATTTACACAGGTTGGCTTTTAATTCTTAATACTGTCCAGAGTCCCGGTAAAATAACATCCTTAGTACATACATACAGCAATGAGGGGGGAGCAGGGCACCGCAAAACCCGGCAGGATTGTCCGCAGAGGAGGGCTGAAGCCGACGGAGCAGAGATGGGCGAAAGTGGGGCTGGGCAGTGAGGCTTGAACCCGGGGCCGCAGCCGAGCGCGTGGGGCGATGCCGGCCCTCCTGGCACATCCTCCGCTGGGTTATGGCCCGTGGGGACACGTGCTGCCACCCCCCTACCCCGGGGACTTTCCCCCCTTTTCTTCAGCCCCGGCCCCATGTCCCGCTGTGCGGGCCGCTGGCTGCAGCCCCCCCCGCCGCTGCCGGAGCCGAGGTCTCCAGTGGGCACCGGGGTGTCCCCATCCCCACCACCCCCATGCACGTCCTGGGGGACCCCAGGCATGTCCCCACAGCCCTGCTGTGTCCCTGCCCTCTGTGTGTGTACCCCCATGGCCCCACTGCGCGTCCCCACAGCCCCTCCAGGTGTATCCCCGTGTCCCCTGCACATGTCCCTGTGTCTGTCCATGCAGCTCGCCCCCCCATGGCACTGGTATTTGGGGGGCCCATATGCACCCCAGCCAAAGCAAGCAGCGAGACTTAGGGTGAGAGGACCAGGAGGCACCCAAGGCGTCGGGGAGCACCCAGATTGGGGAGGGGGTCCCTCCACAGGCTGTCCCGCACCCTGGGCTGAGGCGCTTCCCGCACACCCCCCACCTCGGCACAGGGGGCTGGCTGGCAGCAGGAGCGGGGGCGTCCCCAGTGTTTTTGGGGGGGTGGGAGCCCCGGTGCTTGTGGGCGTAATCCAGTCCTGGATGGATTCGTGTCCACAGCCCGTGGGGACATGCCGGGATCCTGCCTGTGAGCTGGGACAGGGCTCTTGCACCCACCCTGGGGGTGGGAGGCTGGAGGGTGCTGCGGGTGGAGGGGGGTGGGTCCCAGACCCTTCCCAGGGGGTTGGGCACCCCGGTGCCAGCTCAGCACCCCGTCTCCTCCCAGGGCAGCTCCCCAGCCCAGTGACACGACCCCGGCTGCCCACCAGCAAGCCGCTGCCCAGCTCCTCCCGTGCCTTTTCCACCCGACGTCGCCTTGAACCAGGGAAGTACAGTGGCTGTGGGTTACTCGTTAGCAATCAGCCGCGCACCTTAATTAGGAGCCTCCAGCAGCACAAAAGGGGGGTCCTGGCCCCCCCATCTCCTCACAGTCACGCGCTCTCCCACCACGAAGCCTCTCCCTGCCTCGATCCAGCCGTGCGTTCCCGTCCTCTCGTTAAATAAATGAGCTGTGATTGCAGGCGGAGCTGGGTGTTGGTGCCGAGACAAGCTGCAGCATGCGGCCAAGACCTGGCACGCCACCTTCCCAGCATGCAGGATCGGGCCCCCAGTTCAGCCTCTGGCCCAGGCGGGCGAGCAGGATGGGGAGACATGGGGACACAGCCCCCCCGCTCCTCGGCTTGTCCCGGAATGTCCATCAGTGGGAGGAGATGGCCACTGAGACTCACCCCAGGTTGGGGCATTGGCCCCAGCGCCCAGTGGGTCCCTCTGGCTCTTCCCAGTCCACAGCACTGGGAACTGTGATGCTCCAGTACAGCGGGTTGGGGTGACTTGCCAGTCCCCTGCGGTCCCATGTCACCGTCCCCCCTGCTCCCCAGCACAGTCCTGGCCAGCTCGCGTGGGACAGGGGGTATCATGGGACCCTCACCGGGGCTTCATCCCCGACAGCTGCTCAAGCTTGGATTTTCTCCACCACCTTGTCAGCCACTGCTGTCACCACCATGGGGCTGGGGACGTAGTTGAAGGGGGTGACGCGGGCAGCTCTGCTCGGGGAGCCGTGCCGGCTGGCGGGGAAGGTCCCGGCAGGCGCCTCGTGGCCGAAGGAGATGGGCAGAGCGGCTTTGGCGGGGGCCAGAGCTTCGCCCTCGCAGGCAGCGTGGGCGTGGGGGGGCCCCTCGCGGGTCTCCAGCGTGGGAGAGGTGCTGGAGTTGGTCTTGGCGGTGGAGAAGTCCTCGGTCTGCACCACGGCGTCGCTGGTCTTCCTGGGGCTAGGGGTACCAGGGTGCTCCTCCTCGCCGGTGCCCGCCAGCGGCAGGGCGGAGGAGGGCAGCGTGCTCTTGAGGATGTGGGGGATGTCTTCGTCCCGAATCCTCCGCCACGTGCCCTTCATCATCACCACCGGCGGCTTGGGCGGCTGCCCGCCAGGTACTGCCTCGGCCTGCCGCCGCCGCGCCGAAGCCTCGGAGCGGGCGGAGAGGACGGAGGAAGGGCTGCCCGTCCTCCGCGCCACGCTGATGTTGGGCGAGGATGAGTACCTCTTGAAGGGCTCGGGCGCGGGGATGCTGGTCTTCACCGGCAGCCGGGACGGGCTCTCGGAGCTGGTCCTCCGCGGCGGCTTGAGCCCGGCGGGGACTTTGCCACTGGGCTGGGCTCTGGGGACGAGGGGGCGCGGGCTGGGGGCCGCCGGCTTGGCCGCCTTGAGCTCCTCGCAACGGGAGGAGCAGAGGAAGACAGCCGGGAGGGCGGCACGGCTGCGCTGCGGGGAGGTGCGGCGAGGCAGCGAGGCCGCCGGCTGCGCCGGGGGGAGCTCGGTGCGGTGCCGCAGCAGCAGGCTGGAGGATTCCTTGATGAAGGTGAGCTGGCGCAAGAAGCCGGAGCGGTCCGAGTCGCTCCCGCTGGAACGGGCGGATGACATCCGCACCAGGTTGAGCCGGCTGCCCCCCGGCCCCCCTGGCCTCCCGCCCCGTGCCTTGCCACCATCCGCCTGCTCCTCCAGCACTGGCATGGCCCCCCGGCCCGGCAGCACCTTCCTGCTGGGCTTCTGCATGAATGGGATGCGGACGGGTGACTTCTGCGTCTTGGACTGCTTGGGGGCTGGGGATTTGGGGGCCGGGGCTCTGGCCAGGGGTCCCGATGGGGAAGATGAGCCGCCCGCCTTCCCCGTGGCCAGGGGACCCTGTTTGGCGAGCTGGGAGGGTGACGGCAGCTTCTTGGGGGCGTGCTGGGAGGGGGTGGAGGTGCGGGAGGAGCCGGAGGAGGGGGGTCCCTTGCCGATGCGGGCGGGCGGTGTCGTGCTCCTCTTGGGCAGCTCCAGGTCCCCGGTTTCGGGGGGTTTGCCCAGACGGTGCAGGCTCCGGGAGCGCTGCTGGCTCAGGGAGAGGTTCTTGGCCGGCGGCACCTCGGGTTTCACCGCAGGGCTCTTCTTCGGGGTCGCCCGCGGGCTGGGGGCATCCTTAGCCAGGTTGGGCATGTAGATGACGGTCCTGCCCCGGAAGACCACGGGCAGGTTGGGCACCGGCTTGGTGGGCGCCAGGCTCTGCTCTGCCCTGGTGTTTCTGCGGCCGGCGAGACGGGTGCTCGGCACATCCTTCCTCTCTGGGCGGCTCTTGCTGTGCTCCCTCCTCACCGCATCCCGGCCGGCCGCTCTGCTGGCTTGCTGCTTCTCCTGCCTGCCCAGGGAGAGCTGCAGGGTGGACCCGACCGAGAGCCCCGACACGAAGGAGAGGATGGAGTCAGACTCGGAGGAAGGCTCCCGTGAGAGGGAGGCAGCAGCCTGGTGCAGCCAGGTGACGATGGAGTTGGCGCCCTCCTGGATGGCTTGCCACTCCACGCTGTCCAGGTCTGAGCCGTGGTCGGAGCCGGCGTCCTCGGCGGGGCGATGCCTTGCCTCCGCTTTCCGCTCCCTCCCGCCAGCAGCCGGCGGCTTCTGCTTGCGCTCTGCCATCCTCCGGCGAGCCGAGGGCCGCCGGCGCTTGGGCATGGCTGAGCCGATGCACTTCTGCAGCAGGTCATCCTCTGAGTTGAGGCTGGGGGAGCTGGGGGACCCCCCCTGCGCCTGCCCCGCCGCCGCTGCCGATCGCGGCCGGGGGGTTTTGCTGCAGGGCTGGCCCCGCTCCTCGCCGTCGGAGAGGTTGGCATCGCTCAGGGAGCTCATGGAGGAGCTGAGGGAGTAGCACGGTGGCGTCTCGTCAGCGATGAGGTTGTTCTGCAGCTTCGTCTTCGCTGGCCGGGGTCCGGGCTCGGGTTCTCTCCGGGGGATAGAGCTGCCCCAGCGCTCCCTCCTGGGTGCCCGGCCGGGCTGGGCTCTGCTTCCAGGCACCTCCCTGCCTGCCTCGGGCAGCTCATCCGAGTCCTGCTCATAGAAGCAGTAGACGGCTTCCTCTGTCGGCGTGGTGTGGCACAGCGACTGGAAGGCCACCCCGTCCTCCCGGGGAGCATCCTTCTTCCCAGGGGGACCACTGGTCCTCCCCACCTCCAGCTCCAGGCTGGATCTGCTCTTTGGGGGGGGCTGGCCCCGCTTCCCCTCCCCACCTTGGCCCCGGATCAATCCTGCATTCCCCTTGCCAGCTGAGCTCAGACGGCCGGGTGCTGAGCTGCCGGAGGCAGCTCTCCTGGCCGGGACGGGGCCAGTGCTGCCTGCTTCACGGTGCCCCTCGGGCAGGACCCCCGCCACACGCCCCGTCCCTGGGCCATGGGGGTGCTCAGCCTCCTCGGCGGCTGGGTAGCGCAGGGTCTCGTCGCTCAGCGAGGCAGCACTGGAGAAGTTGACAGGTGTCCCGTCAGCCGAGTCGGTGAAGGAGTCGTCGTCCTTGAAGAGGTCGTGGGCGGTGGCACGCAGGTGCTTGGGGACGCCGGGGTGCGCGTGGGCTGGCACCAGCATGTAGACGGGGAGGTGAACTGGCTTCTTTGTCTGGGGGTGCAGGACCTGGCCGGAGAGCAGAGAGGTCTTCACCTTGCGGAAGCGGGAGGGCATGGCGGAGCTGATGCACTCCTTCAGGATCTCGATGTCGTCGTCGTCGGGGGGCTCGGGGCGGTCGGCCCGTCGCCGGCCCTCCAGGTACCGCTCCTCCCGCCGCTCCTCCCGCTTCTCGTGAGCCACAAAATTCAGGCTGTTCTTTTCCGGGAAGGTGGGCATCAGCTTGAGCTCCACGTCCTTCTGGACATAGTGCTCG